ACTTTGACTCTTAAAACTGCTCCTCTCCTTAAACATGGATCAACAAATGATACTTGAAGAACGAGCGGGCACTGGTGCTCACACTTACGGTTTTTTAGTGTTTAAGGGTGGGGGCTCACTTTATGTTTGCTTGTGCTAGCTTGTTTGAAGTATTAACAACCTATGCTTCCTTTCTGGGAAACCACAAACGTTCTGCCATGCTGGGATGAGTTTTCCTTCCTCTGCTCACAAATCATAAGAACATTAGACCATACGAACTTGGTATTTTTGGTTTTTGTTTTGGCTAAGTGGGCAAAACTTAAAAAGCAAAACACAGCAAAACAAAAACAGGGTCCTCGACCACCCTTCAGTCCAACCCTCTATTTCCATAAGAGACTTGCTCAACCCTGAAATGTGGGAACAGTGGTGGAGAAACCATGGAAACTGCGATTTAGAGAACAAGGTATAATATACACGCTCTACATGAGATCTGAGAGCCAGGCTTTTGTCTGTTATGGTCACTGCTGTATTCCTAATCTCTAGAATGCGCAATAAATACTTGTTGAATGAATAAATGAAAGGAAGCTATAGGGCAAAGAAAAGATGCCTCAAAGGGCCCCATAAATATGGCTCTTACAGAGCTGAGCTTTGGGAGCTGTGGGCTAAGATTCATTGGTGAGTCATGAAATCAATTTAGTTTGAGCAGCACTGTTTGGAAAGAATGGAATGCAACAGAATAGGAAATTATCTTAGTAAGGGGAAATACAGTTTTGTGAAATTTCTGTTTCCGGCACACACCCAGGATTACAATGTAAAATACATTTATTACTGGTTTAAAGAAAAAAATTGGAGGAAAAACGTTTGCCTGGGGACATTAAAAAGCAGATTCCCAGGCTCAAGACGTGACTTCTTGGATCAGAATCTCAGGAATTTTGCACTTTGAACAAGTTCCTTCAGGGATATCAGCAGACATTAAACTTCAGAGTCTCCACTCTGAAAACCATTGCTGGGTCTGGAATGTCAAGCAGTTTAACAGCCATGGAAAAGCTAATCAACAAATTAGTTCAACAGTGTTTTCATGGCCCCTCTTGTTTGTGGGGGCTGGGGGGGTGGGGAGAAAAGGAACCAAGACAGGCATTTAATGACCACGACGAATAAAATACAGTTGGAGAAAAAGAAGATAGCAGGAAGGGAAGAATGAAGGGGAGTAAGTCGGAGGGGGAGACGAACCATGAGAGACAATGGACTCTGAGAAACAAACTGAGGGTTCTAGAGGGGAGGGGGGGTGGGGGGATGGCTTAGCCTGGTGATGGGTATTAAAGAGGGCACGTTCTGCGTGGAGCATTGGGTGTTATGCACAAACAATGAATCATGGAACACTACATCAAGAACTAATGATGTAATGTATGGTGATTAACATAACAATAAAAAATTTAAAAAAAAAATACAGTTGGCCTCTTTGTGCCTATTAACCTCACTACTAGGCCACTTACTGCCAACTCCTTCCATACACTCACCCCGAGGGCCACACAGACCTGTCCTCATACGGGTTTGCCACAGTTTTTAACTTCCAAAATAAAACGATGACAGGGATTTAGTCACCAGATGTGTGTGTCTGGCCTGGGGCCTGCAGGGAGACTGCTGAGCGAAGAACCAGGAAAAACTCACAGCCCAGGGCTCCTGTCATCAGATCGCTACATAAAGCAGGTGTGGCCTCTTCTACCCTAATCCTGGCAGAGCTCTTAGCCACCTGTCTTGACAACTGCAGACAAGACTCCCCGGAACGATGATCCAGATACACTGGAGGCCCAGGCTCCTGGAGGCCCACCGGGATTCCTCTAGCCCAGCTGTCCCTCCCCCTGCGTCAGTGAATCTACTTCCCCACACCCCACGCCAATTAACCAATCCATGTTGTGCGTAATATCATGCACATACGATGCATACAATTAGTTTCCTTCTCTGCCTCTCTCTTAGGTAGTAACAAACATAAAAACTTTTTTTCCCCCCCTCTTCTCACTTCAGACATAGCTATTTGAGGGCAATTTTAATCTAGACTCACTGACTGGACCATTTCCAGATCTTTCTTTCTGCAGAGCCTCCACTTGTGCTGAGAGGAGGAAGACTGTCCACGTCTACTGGGAATCACCCGGAAGTCCTTCTGCACCTGGGAAGCCGCACCTGCCTCAATTTGGCACAAGGGGTTCCCTTCCGCTGGCCTCCTAGAGCACTTACCACCTGAACTGCTCATCGGATGCTAGTGTTTCAGCCGCCATCTTTTGCTGTGAGCTCTCTTAGTGTGTATTATCTTTTCTCCTCAACTTGACTAGCAATTTCCTGCAAGCCGGCAACCATACCTTCATCTTCTGTAGTGCCTTGCTTAAAAAATGACTTTTTTATTTATACAGCCCTCTCTGGGTTTGACTGTGGAAGGACACACAGGAATCACGCTCAACGTTTAAAAGCAATCGGCACTGGGGCGCCTGGGTGGCTCAGTTGGTTAAGCGACTGCCTTCGGCTCAGGTCATGATCCTGGAGTCCCGGGATCGAGTCCCGCATCGGGCTCCCTGCTGAGCGGGGAGTCTGCTTCTCCCTGTCCCCCCTCTCATGTGCTCTCTCTCTCATTCGCTCTCTCAAATAAATAAATAAAATCTTTAAAAAAATAAAAAAATGAAAGCAATCGGCACTGGACAAATTAATCAAAACCTGCTCATCTTAGCAGAAAGTGTCTTTCACCACATTTGGTTGGTCAAGCACCAAATTGCTAGTGCTGCACTTGAGACACTAAAAATAACATTAACATGAAATTTTGAGAAAAAAAAAATTCTACACTAACAAGGTCCGGCTAATAGGATTAAGGACAAAAGGAAAAGTGAAGTGGTTCAAAATGAGTGTCAGAAATTTCGACCAAATTAACTGGGGTTACTTATCACGTGTTACATGCACGCTGCATGCTCAGAGCTTTATGTGCACTCTTTCACCTAATCTTCACACCAACCTATGAAGTGAGTATTATTATTCCATTTCACAAAGAAACAAAGGCACAGAGAGCTCAAATAACTTCCCAAGGTTGGTAAACAGCAGGATTAGGATGTAAAGTCAGATCTGTCTGACTTCACAATCCCTTATTGCCTTTCTAATTAATTCACCCCTTCCTGATGTAGATTTCTAGACCATAATCTGTAGGTTCTCTTTCCTAATGAAAGTCAAAACCCCAAAACAACAGATTTTTTTGTTTTTTTAAGCAGAGCAACCAACCAACCCTTCTTCAAAGAAAGTCAGATGGGAGCACACTTATCACCATTCCCACACCTCTTAATAAATCTCTAAACTTCTACGCCTGACCCCCCCCCACAGTTTAATCCGAACACATCAGTGTGTCCTTTTGTTTTTTTAAAAGATTTTACTTACTCATTTGAGACACAGAGATAGAGAGAAAGAGAGAGCATGAGCAGGGGGAGAAGCATAGGGAGAGGGAGAAGCAGGCTCCCCTCTGAGCCAGGAGCCCGATATGGGGCTCGATCCCAGGGTGCTGGGATCAAGACCCAAGCTGAAGGCAGATGTTTAACCATTTGAGCCACCCAGGCGCCCCTCGGTGTGTCCTTTTAAAAGGTCACATCACAAGTATGTTCAACACCACCTCTAGCCCTATCTCCCCCTACTCTCCCCTTTGCTCATTCCACATATGGCTTCCTTCTTCCTTAAGCAAACATGACATGCTTCTGCCCCAGGGTTTTTGCACTGACTTTGTCCTCTGCTTGGAGCCCTCTTCTTCAAGATATTTGCATGGCACATTCCTCACACTTCCTTTATGCCTTTGCTTAAAAAGCTCATGTCTAAGTGAGGCCTTCCCGCAATACTCCATTTAAAGTTGCAATCCATCTTCCCACCCCAGGACTTCCAATCCCTCTTGCCTTGTTCTATATTTGACTCTGGCCACAACACTTATCACCTTCTAACATACTACATTTATTAAGTAGTTTATTATGTTCATTGCATCTACTCTCTCGAACAGAAATTTTATGAGGGCAGGAATGTTTAGGTTTTGTTTGCTGCCTTATCCCCAACACCTAAAACAATGCTCCCCCACATAGCATGTGCTCAGCAAATATTTGCGGGATTGTTTTAAATGACTTACTGGCAAGAAAAACCGATAACCCCAAGTCACTGCACTGTGTTTACCCTATGGCTTTTTGTACCCTTGGGGTTCTGCGCCCCTCTGGGAGGCACTCATTGACCTGTTTGAGAAGCCTGGGGATGGGGAGCTATCAAAGAGAGAAATGATTCGGTGAGTTCTACATTTCAGTCCGTCCGCTCTAGCTCTGGGGGTGGATCTGTGGAGGATAAGACTGGAATTATGAGTCCATTCCAATATTCAGGCAAGAGATAGTGAGAGTTTGAAAAATATCTAGGAGGCAAGAGGGAAAGATTCAATGATTGGTTGGATGCTGGAGGATGGTGGGAAGGGACTGACCCTCAGGTTTCTGGTTGGGTGGGTGACTGAACAGATAATGCTGCCAGTAATGGAGACAGAGCATACCAGAAAAATCCCACTTGGGAGGTCCCTGGGGATATAAGTCCCTACACTCAGTTTAACATTCACTTTATTAGTCCTTTGACAAATAACTAAAGCAATTATGGCAACAAACTCATTCAGGGTCACAGATCAGCAGAATATAAACAACAACAACAAAAAAATCCTACGAGATTATTGCTTATGTCCCCATTTATCAGCGGCACTGAGCTGGCCTTTGTACATGCAACTTCCCTTCAAAGGAAAGAGGCAGGAATGTCTTCTGGGTTAAAATTTCACATGGGTTAAAAGTCAATTGTGCACCTGAAAATATATACCTACCAAGATTCCTGTAGATTTCAGGGACCAGTTGTCCCATTTCTTTGAAAAACGACTTCAGAAGTAGACAATTTTAAAAGCGTGCCATCCTAAAGATCGCTAAACAAAGATTACCAATAAAATACTTCAATCCGCCTCTTATGTGACCGACAGTTTTACCCTCATACCTTACCTGGAAAGTTGTCTCGATTTAGCTTAGGTCTGCGGACTATCACAAAGTCCTTGTCATTCCCCTTGCTTTTCAGCCGTTTTCGGGGAGGGCTCTGAGGGTGGGCCAGGTTTGAGAGCAGTTCCTGGGGGATATTCTCACTGTCCACCTCCTCCTTTTCCAGGGCAGAGACCCCCATGCCCGACAGCAGTTCAGATGTCTTGCTAGAATCCCATCCCCACGTGAAGCTGGTGGTAACGTTGCTACTCTGGTCGGGAATCTCCTGGAGGTGTTTCCTGCAGAAATGCACAACAGCCCCTGCTGCTTTCAAAAACACACCCGTGAATAATTCAAAGATAGGCCTAAATGAAACTGCAAGTTATGCAATGCAGAGAACTCTCACAGTGTCTCATAGAATTGCTTTTAAATGCCGGCGGCAAGTTTCTAAGAAGGAAAGAGAAGATAACAGAAAACCAAAAGGGCTTTTTGATTTACGATCACGGAGAAGGCCTCAAGAATGTCTTAAAGTGGAGGGAACAGACAAGCGGGAGAGCACAACGATGGAAAACAGTAGCAGGAAAGCTCAATAAGGGAAGGCAAACAACACCGCACGCTGATCACCGCACTAAAGCATCCAGCCATCCACTCTTTCCCAAAGAAGGAGCTAAGCAAGTATTCACTTTACAGCATTTGTAACAATATTAGCAAGTAGCAATATTCGCGGCCTAAAAGAACTGAGACCGTTCATTCACTCTCTGCCCCCTTTTGCAATCGGGTTACCTGTGCATGGCGTCCACGGGTTCTGGAGTTTTAAATGCGTGCATTAATTGCAGAACTGCCCGCCTCCGGGATTCCCGCTTTGGCACGCGGCGGCTCACGGCCCGCAGCTCCGACCCCCAGCAGCGAGACCCGCGAACTCTAGCAACGTTCCATCCTCGCCGCGCGCGCAGGGCTCTTCTACTCGCTCTCCTCCGCCGCGGCCGTCTGCGGCCCCGTGGCCTGCTGGGTACTGTAGTTTCTGCTGTGCCTCGTAGTCCGGCCGGCTCTCGGATACTTCCTTCCTTGCTCCTTTACCCGCCTTCGAGATACCCACAACTCCCCGCGGCTCGAGGCTGGGCTACCCACGGGGTAAGGCGGGGAAGCGGAAGTGGGCGGTGCTCCGGCTGGCTGGGAAATGTCAGCCGCTTGACTGGGGACGGGTTTTCCTTACCTCAGAGACTGCAGGCCTTTTAGTGATCGTCACCGCCGTCGCCTCGGACCGTAGGTCCCAGATCCTGGACGGTTGTGGCGGACGCGGAGTTTCCCGGTCCTTCCAGACGCTGTCTGGCAAGATCGGACGGTGAGCCTGATGGGGAGAGCCTGAGGCACTTTGGGGTCTGGGGTCTGGGGTCTGGGGTCTGAGGCCGAGCGCAGGCGGAGATCGAGAGGACCTCGGAGACCCCGAGCAGCAGCCACCGCGGGCCTACGTTCCCGGCCACTGATAGGCGGTAGCCAGGTCCGCCGGCCAGGTGAGAGGTTGGGGGCCGCGGGCGTCACACTTGCTCTCCCCTCCGCCGGGAAGCTGCTTCCTCCATCGGGGAGAGAGTGACCCTTAGCCCTGGGTCTGTGCACAGGATCCTTTCCTCAACAGTAAAATAGGCACTACGGCTTCGAGGCTTATCTCGAGAACACGCTTGGCGGTCAGGGTCAAGTCAGATAACGCTCGTGAAAGCGTTTTGTAAACTAAAGCGCAGTTCGAACGAGAGGCGGTGGTTTTAATTTTAGGGGAGCAGGAGAACACAGTGGTTCCTGTGTGCGGTGGGAAAGGTGCGCATCCCCTTGCAGCCTTGACGAGTTTCAGAAATGCCAGCATGGGAACAAATAAGTGACTATATGACTATATGTTTGCAAAGGGCTTTTTAGCGCAGCGCTAGGGGCCACCAGCGAAGCCATTCGGTCGCTCGCGTTCAACCGGCCACACGTCTGGTTGCGTCGCCGTGTAAAAGCGAGCTGCTCTCAGCCTATGTCCGCCGAGAAGAGTTTGGAGGCGGTTAGAGGAGGGAATGTACCATATTCTAAGGTAGGATGACCATGCGAAATCCATTGTGCACACTACACCATGACTGTGACCCCTGGAAAACAGTGGAAGAGAGAAGGGGAATAAATTCCAACCCTCATAAAAATGCGGAGGATTTATAAAGTTCAGAAGTAAGCAGACAAAAATATTAGAGTATTACTTCGGTATGCAGTATGACATACCTTAAAAAATAGTATGACATACCATTAAAAAAACGATTCGCTTTGTGCTGGAATCAAACCTCCCTTGCCCGGGTATGTGCTGGTTTCAGGCTTGGTGCTTAGCCTGAAGAGTGACCACTTCTTGATTAAGGTATTCACGAATCTTTAGTTTTTTCTTGAAAATAAGTGAAATTACTGTAAAGAAGGGATATGCTCACAGGTTGATTTAAACTAGGTGAAAATACTAGGCTGAACGTTCACAATTCATTAAACTGATGTTATGGAAAATATTGTTAAATGCAATATTCTGATTTTTTTGCATAAAGTTACCTTTATGTTACTTTGGCTGAGGAGAAAGCAGTTGCCTTCCTTTGAAATCTCCATCCTTTTCCTTAAAATTGCAGCTCATTAGAGAACATAATTTTATATTTAAAAAAAATTATAATCTCTTTCAAGAAAGTAAAACAGAGGGAGTGTATACACTAATGGAGGAGAAATAAACAGGGAAAAATATTTTAAATGCCATGATGAGAGTAAACAAAGTTTTGAGATATAAAGTAGATCTTATAGATAGGAAGGTCTAATGGGATGATTTTAAATTTAAAGATGAGAAATATCCTGGTAGTAGGATTTAGCAAGTAGTTTCCTAGGAGCCAGGGAACATTTCTAGTTCCTAGAATACTTGAAATCGCTGAATTGGTGGACAGGAGGCCCTCTATAGAACTTCAAAGAAAGCCTGTCAACTTTGAAAATCAGTCTTCAAATTCTAGAATAGGTATTTTACTAACAGTTTGCCCTGGTAACAAAAATACTTTAGCTTGCTGAAATAATCAGTTTTTTTTTCTGCATTATTCTAATTATGGGTGTTCGTTCTCTTTATATAGTAAATAAAAGTTTAAATTGGTACATGGGAGTCTGATATAAGGAATTGTGTCTGTTGAAGAGATGAGATTATCAGCTACATAGATAATCGCAGTCTGGTTTCTTTCAAGAATTACACTGTGATTGCTACTGATACGGATTATTTTTTTTTCCTGGTTAATTTTATTTATTTAATCTTGCTCAGCACACCCATGTCCCATTTTAGTGAGAGTTGTAACTAAATTTCTAAAACTAGAATTACTAGATCAGTATCTAGGACAAATGAATTACAATTTTTTTTTTTTAATCTCTGCAAATGACATTAGAGTAATTTTTCGTGCTCTTTAGAAGCTTGAGGTAGAATACAAAGCGACTTTGTAAATTGGGAAAGTGTTTATTGTAAAAGAGACAAGATGGTCAACATTGTACAGGGCACAGGAGGGGCAAAAAAGGACTGGAAACTACATTTCACTGTAAGCTACATGTATATTCGGTAGTATATTAGCGTTCTTTTTGAAAATCAAATATGACAAAAGAGATTGTTTTTAAATAGATGAGTGATGTGCTTTTTTTCTTAGTCCCATCAAAGCATGAAATAAATCTTAAAGATTTCTTTAGGTTTTTTTTAATGTTATTTAGCTTGGGGGAACAAAAGACCAAGAACAATTATATAGCAAGAAGTTTCTACCTGCCAATCAAATTTCAAAAGGATCCTTTCCCTCCATTATTTTTTTTTATTTTTTTAAAGATTTTATTTATTTATTTGAGAGAGAGAGAGAATGAGAGAAAGCACGAGAGGGAAAAGCAGACTCCCCGCCGAGCAGGAAGCCCGATGCGGGACTCGATCCTGGGATTCGATCCTGGGACTCGATCCTGGGACTCGATCCTGGGACTCCAGGATCATGACCTGAGCCGAAGGCAGTCGCTTAACCAACTGAGCCACCCAGGCACCCACCTCCATTATTTTTAAAGTAGATCTTTAGATCTCTGTAGTTTAATGCTGTCTGTGATGGACAGATTGGAGCGAGAACAGAAGGGTTCTTTCCCTATTCAAATTTGCTCTATGTTTTCTTTTCTACCTTTCCCATGTAAATTAGAGTCATGGATTACCCTTAAGTAATATAGTAGTCTTACCTGAAGGTGAAAAGACTTCGCTAAATTCTGTATTAAACATGACTTTTCTAGCATTCTATCTTGATAATCATCTAAAGGAATAATTAATAGAATGTTTCTAATTTGTTCACTGTAAAAACCGAACAAAAGAAATTATTTGAACAATTTAAATTGCATTAAGAAAGTATGTCTGGATTTGAAAAAAAACTGTGTAGTATCCCAATTATATAGTTAGGATGAATAGGTTTGAATCCCAGCTTTGCCACTCACTGGCTGTGTGGGAATGTGGACAAACTTCTGGCTCTCTCTGTACCTTTTTCAACTCTATTAAACGAGGATACTAATAGTCCTTTCTTACTGGTTTTGTGGTCTAATCTGATAAAGTATGTTAAGTGCTAGCATAATGCTTGGAATCTAGTAAACTCATACTAAATGTTAGCTCTTCTTTTTTTAAAAATTATTTTATTAAGAAGGATTCTAAGGATTATTCTTTAATTACCAAAATAAGTCTTATAATCTCTTTATGAGAAATCTTTAAGAATTCATTACAATTCCAGTTGTTTTCTTCTTACTTGCTTACATGGTTGCTCCCTTTTCTCTCTCATGTCTTATCAAAGGTTAAGCACTTTGTACATGTCTGTCTTCAGAAGGGCTTGTCACACTTTGGAATTCAGTTTACCTGGTTGGTTTAGCAACTCAGCTCATTTTTTGAAAATGGCTTCAAAAAATATTACAACTATTTTGTATTTTTAGAGTAGGAGCCACACTGTCTTGGGGTATTCTGTGTATATCCTAAGCTGAATCCTCCCTATACCTGGAATCTTTAAACAGGGAATAATGGTGGTTATATTCGGAAGATTTAACTTTTTATTGGTAGTAGAGAATTGTTGACTTTCACAACACTCACGTGTAGTTCTGATACTTTCAATTTTTCATTATTAAGATCTTGAGTTGACTCCTAGTTTCTATTATTTCACATATCTGAATAAAGATACGTACTTAAGTTAGCATAGTCCAAGTCTGATGCATCATTAGGTTCTGGCTAGAAATTTTTCATTCAGCTTCAGAATCTTAGGTTTGGACAAAATTTTTGTCTGCGTTCTCTTCAGTTGCTACCACAAATCTTTCCTTTCATCCTTCCTTCTTGTCTTTTCCTTCTCTTTCTCTTTCTTTTTTGAAGATATTTGGGGGATGCTTCAAGTTCCAAAATTATCTTAACCTGTAAGTTTTCCACTTAAAGTGTGTTTAGCCTAAAAAAACCCACTATAAACCGTAAAGTACTTGGGAAACAGTACCCCAAGTCAGTAACATTAACAAGCTAATTATGAAAGGCATTTGAAAGACATTGTACAATATCTTAATAATTGATATGGAACTAAATTGGATTTTAAGTGTTTAAAGACTTTGAGAACTGGTATTTTGAAAGGTAGACTATGTCTGGATATCAAGCACTAAAATTAGAACGAATGAACTGGCATTTTGATTTTGAGTAAAATCTACTTTTGCTGCTGTGGTGTTAATGCCAACCTATGATAGCTTTGAATTTCTCTTTCAATTTCTAATCACACAGAACTGAATTTTGATTTGCCTCCAAATTTTTGCATATTCTTCTTTCATTTTTGCCAGTTAGCCTAAATACCTTATTTTAATATTTGAGGAATATTGCTAGAAGGACCACTTTTGTGGCCAGAGGCATATTTCCTCTTTTGCCCTTGAGTATATTTTTGCACAGCTGTATGGTTGCAGGTCAGCAAATGATCCGTTTTAATCCACCTCCATTTTGATCACGTGCCTAGAAGAATGGCATTGTCTTTCTATATGACATTGGTGTAACTAATACACCTTCTTGACATGGCTCTGAGATGTGTTCTCCCACTTTACAACAGAGTGTTGAAGGGGTGTTTGGGCTACCTTGCAGACCTAGAGAGGTAATCCCAATTTGTCGAGAGAGGCAAAGGGAGCAATTTCTTGGAGCAAACATCATTTTTTGTTTTATAAGAATCGGGGTGGGCCCAGGCTGTGGTAACCACAGAGAATGAGAAGCAAAAAGCATTTGGTATCCATTCATATTTTGGGAGGATGGTGGGAGAGGAAGCTATTAGTGTAAAGCTTTGCTTTGAGACTACTGAAGCAACTAGTTATCTTCTAGAAGCACATGATATGAAGGAGGTGGAGATGAGCAACTAGCATTTTTTGAGGACCTACTCTGTTTCTAGAACTCCTAGTTGGTGTTTCACTTTTGTATCTCATTTGATCTTCATAGCAACCTGTATGAGGTGATTATTTATCCTCCCTTAACCTTTTAAATTGCATAAAATTACACAATTAAATAAAGTTGAGATTTGGAACCCAGGTTTACCACAGTATAACAAAACATTTGTATTTTAAAATAGTTGTAACTTTAGGCACTTAACACCGCAGCAGAATTTCTCATTTCCTATTTGCCATGTGCTTTACTTTCATATTACTGCATTGATTTTTAAATAATTTTGAAATTACAAAATAATAAATGTTCATTATTTAAAATGAAAAACAGATGAAAGCACAAAGAAGAAAATAGAAATCATCTCTTTACATTTTATGACAACCACTGTTAGCATTTTGGTGTATATTTGTCCCATGTGTTTCTTATGTGTACTCCCTTAGAACCCACCCCTGTTCCTTTTGACATCTCTAAAGTGTCCCTGTGGATCTCACCTTTCCTGTAGACTGGGGGAGTCTGGTGTTCTCCTTGAATCACTGCCTGCAATTTAGATTTGCTGTTATGTAGTCCTTGACTTAGGTGCAGGGGACTTGGTGCAGATCCCTGCTCCCATGAGTCATGGACAGGTTAACAGGATTAGTGATTTATGAAACCCTTGGCTGCTTTTTTCAAAAAGGCAATGGACAGCGATGTGACTGGAGGACATTTTTAAGACTTCCTGACGATTTAGTACAAACATTTAAGTTGTTTCTATGTTTTCATGTTTAAATAATGCCGCCATGAAACATTCTAGGTAAATCTTTGTTCACATTTTGGGTTTTCTTTAAGTTATTTGGAGAGGAATTGCTAGGACAAAAGATATGTACCTGTTTTAAGGTCTTTGGTATATATTGCCAAATTGCTGTACTCCCTGGTGATGAGTTTTTTTTAGTAAGCCAAACCTGAGTTGTGTAACCTTTATTTTTATTAGATTTTAATTAACAGTGATTTTATGAATTTAAGATATAAGTAACTAGATCAGATGGAGGAGAAGGTGCACCTAGCTTTGAACACAAAATTTTTCAGTTGAAAGAACCAAAACAAGCTATAAGATATAGGAGTTCATAAAGAACCTTGGAAAGTGCTATCATTCTGGACTGTAAAAAAATAATTCCTCACTTGAATTTAGGTACAAGTCAAAGATACAGACTTCAAAACTATTATTTTCTCATCTCAGCTTAGGGAAACCCCAATTTTCATCTCCAATTTAGTGGGACCCCTAGGCCTAATCTTGTGTCATAACAAGACAACAGGAGTTCAGCTTGAACAGAAATAGATGGTGTGTTAAACAGAATAATAGACCCCCAAGGATATCTATGCCTTAATCAAGTGAGGAATTATTTTTTTTACAGCTTTCGTTACTAATATGACTAGATTATCCAGATTTTCCCAGGGAGATCAGATGAGCCCTTTAAAGCAGTTTCCTCCCAGCTGAGGGTGGAAGAGAAAGTCTGAGATGGATTTGAAAAGCTATTGCTAACTCTGAGATACCCAGGGCCACATGCAAAGACTGGGAAGAGGCCTCTGGAGCTAAGGGCAAATGCTAGCTGACAGCCTGCAAGGAAATGGGGATCTCAGTCCTATAAACATAACAAACTGAATTTTGCCAATAGCCTGAATGAACTTAGAAGTACATTTTTCCCTAGAGTCTCCAGAGAGGAACACAAACCTGCTGAGAACTTGATTTCCATCTTGAGAATTTAGTTGAACCAAGTTGTGCCTGGACACCTGACCCACAGAAACTATGATACAAGGGTGTTGTTTTAAGCCTCTAAGTTTATAGGAATTGTTTATAGCAGGAATAGGTGACTAGTACACTGAGAATAGGAAGAGATGTAACCAAATCATTTTTTTATTACTAGAATAAAGGATCCATAATTCTGTTTATTCATCTACAAGATTTTAAAGTACTATGAATCAGACTGAAAAATTGACAACCATTGTGAAAAAAATATTAGTAGCTAGTAGCAAATTTATAACTGATTTTGTTGTTTGCTTATGCCCATGATCTTGCCACCTGTTATTAATGTCTTTATATATTTCCTTTTTGTCTTAGTTTCTTATGCATATTATAAGAAATGTAAAAATGTGTGAATTGAGGGTTCTTTTCAATTAACATTACGGTAATTTTCTAATGTTATGAAATAATCTTAACAAACATCATTTCTTACACTTCAGTAATATTCCATTATTTGCTTCTGTCATACTTTAGCATTTCCTTGGTAATCTCTGATAGTCAGTCTTTTTTCTATGATTACCATATTCCTTGGACTGGACAATTTCAGGGAAATAAATATCTAGGTGAAACCATGAAGGGATTTTCAAATAATAACTTACATTTAAATTCACATTGAATTACTTTTTTTTAAAAGCTAGATCTTGAAGGAGGTAATGGTTTTCATCAGCACACTCTACATTGAGCTATCCACTTAATCTTTTCTTGGCTTACAAATAAGATTTGACTTACTCTTATTGTGATGGTATAGGTTTTTTTCATAGAATATGAAATTTGAGGGCGCCTGGGTGGCTCAGTTGGTTAAGCGACTGCCTCCGGCTCAGGTCATGATCCTGGAGTCCCTGGATCGAGTCCCTCATCGGGCTCCCTGCTCGGCAGGGAGTCTGCTTCTCCCTCTGACCCTCCCCCCTCTCATGTGCTCTCTCTCTCTCTCATTCTCTCTGTCTCAAATAAATAAATAAAATCTTTAAAAAAAAATTTGAAATTTTGAGTAGTAGTAATGACAGTTTTAATAAGTCTTTGAGTTGTAATAAGTATTTGTAATATCAGTTTTGGAGACCATAACAGGAATTTTATGTTGCCTTTATAGTCAGCATTAATAAAAATAGTGTATATACTGAAGTATAGTGTAAGTTTTTTATTCATTTATTCATTCAACAAATACTTTTTGAATATCTACTGTATGCTAGACACTATATTAGAGACTTGGGATGTAGTACTGAATAGTCAAGTGTCTGCTTTCATGAAGTCTGGGGGGTAGAGGTGGGGAGGAAGGGGTTACAGGGTGACAGTAAATGTGAATATACGTTATATTAGGTGGATAAGTGCTTTGAAGAAAAACATAGCAGGATGTGGTGATAGTGATGAAAGGGGTCGATTTTAGATATTTTAGAAATATGAAAATACTGGTTGAAATGCACAGAGGAATAGAAAGTACTTCAACAATATAAAGAAATAGTGAAGAAAATAGTTTATTATATGTGATTTTTGTTTGTGATATTCCATGTAAGGATATTTCTTATATGAATTTAAATTTAGCCTGATAATACCCAAACTTTATTTGTTTTATAACTAGTTTTGGTTGGAGATGGTGGTGTATTTTATTGATTCCGTCTTATTTTATTCTGCATCACAATCTTGATTCTCTGTTAACATATTAATTCCTTAGAATATTGTAGTCTGTGGACAAACAAAAATGTCTAAAATTGATTTTACAAAGGTGAAAAGAACATATTGCATTCAGTTAGTAAAGGTAAATTATTTTAGGGATGCCTGGGTGGCTCAGTTGGTTAGGTATCTGCCTTCCCTCAGGTCATGATCCCAGGGTCCTGGAATTGAGTCCTGCATTGGGCTCCCTGCTCAGCGGGGAGCCTGCTTCTCCCTCTGCATGCCGCTCCCCCCATTTGTGCTCTCTCTGACAAACAAATAAATAAAATCTTAAAAAAAAGAGGTAAATTATTTCATAAGAGTAAAGAGATAACAAACCATTGCTGATGTCTCTGTTATCAGCATTTATAATTAAAAATATTCTCGTGTATGACTTTATTCAATAATCATTGATACATTTTTCTGCATTTAATAGTAAGTTTCTTTAAAGAAAATAAGATTTATATAGCTAACGGAAAGTGGTAAGTATGCAGTTGACCCTTGAACAATGCAGGAGTTAGAGGTGCCAATCCCCTGTCCACTTGAAAATCTGTGTATAACTTTTGACTGCCTGGAAACTTAACTATTAATAGCCTGCAGTTGACCAGAAGCCTTACCATAACATAAACAGCTGGTTAACAGTGTGTGTGTGTGTTTGTGTGTGTGTGTGTGTGTGTTTTACTGGATGAACTTGATATTTTGTAGTATGAGTATTTTTTTGTTGAAATATAATTAATATTCAAAACTATATTAGTTACAGGTGTACAACATCATGATTCAACATATATTGTATGTAAACTATATACTCACAATAAACTACAGAAAAGAAAATGTTACTAAGAAAATCATAAAAAAGAGAAAATAAATTTATAGTACTCTATTTACCAAAAAAATCTGTGTAGAAGTGGACCCACACAGTTCAAACTTACGTTGTTCAAGGGTCACCTGTATTTTGTGAAGCAGTAAATAAATAAGAATTTCAAGTTGTTAAATTTGTTAGACAAGATTATCACAAGAAAATAAAACTGTTTCAAACAAAGGAAATGTTACTTTCAAATGCTCTTTTTCATGCTCTCTCTCCCTCTTTTGGAACATTTTAAGTAATGGGTTATGGATGACTTAGAAAACTTTATTTTAGAAAATATCTCATTTCCTAGGGTCTAGTCAGTAGTGTATTTGTATTAAATTTCTGTTGGGACTTACAACCTTAAGGAACAAACTCCAAATGACACTATTAAAACTGTCACATTTAGTATTCTTATATTGTAATATTTTTAGAACTAGTGTAATTTTTAGTAAGATAACTTTTTTCCTGAAGATATAGTTTATGTGAAATTTTTAAGATCTACTTTAAAAAATAAGATATATATTTGAGAATAGGAATGATCCTTTTCCTTTTATTTGTAGTTCAATGTAAAGACTGATGATTTTCCAAAGAATTTATTAATAAACAAATATTTAGGAAATTTTCAAGTGGTTATTTCCTTTGTTAATGCTGCTTTTTTTTTTTTCTTTTCCAGTTTACAGATATGACCCAGACCTGTACATGAGTGACTTTGGTTAGTCAGAGTGAACATTCAATAATGAGTGGTGCAGCTTTGGGACTCGAGATTGTTTTTGTCTTTTTTCTGGCATTATTCCTACTTCATCGATATGGAGATTTCAAGAAACAGCATAGACTTGTAATTGTTGGAACACTGCTAGCTTGGTATCTCTGCTTTCTTATTGTCTTCATACTGCCTCTGGATGTTAGTACGGTAAGAGATGAAACCGAGTTTTGCAATTCAGAAGGCAATTGTAATCATACAGCATGTTTGAGATATGTTAGTTCTTAAGACAGCTAAATTATATAAGGTTATACTGAATATTTTGTATTTAAATCTTACTATAGGAATTTGATCATTACAAAGCATAGCCAGGAAGGTAGTTGGTGGATAGGTTGATATCCTCCAGTATCCCTTAAGTACACGTTTTCATTTTTAAACCTGGTGTTCACTGTTTAGACTATATACAACCGCTGCAAGCATGCTGCTGCAAACTCAAGCCCTCCTGAGAACAGCAACATCACAGGATTATATGCAGCTGCTACCCCCGTTCCCAGGTATTTGCTTCCTGTTTGTTTGTTTATTTTTAAAAATAGGGTAGAGGAGAAAAATTGCTTTAAAATTGTCAGTTCTTACCATTTGGATTTTATAAAAGTTGATCCTTACTCATCCCCCCCACCTCACTTCTATCCTTTGCTAGTAGACTTTTAATTACTTTGTATTCTATCTAAATTTAAATCTTAAATAAATTTAAAAAATTTATTGGTGCACAAGGCCTTTTAGTAGATGCTAAGGAGAAACTTGGAGAAGACCTGATTTTTTTAGCCCTGGTTCTATCTCTTACTGAGAATGTGACTTCCAATGGCTATTTTTTTTCTCAGCCTTTCTCTGGTCTAAATAAATGAGGCATTCATTTTATCTTTTACCTGATTTACAAGGTTGTATAAAAGGTAAGGAGATTATTCTGTATGTAGGGTGTTCCCTTCATATTGTGCATTCTTTGAAATCATTATAGTTTTATTTTTTATTTTCACTCTTTTAAAGATTTTATTTTTAAGTAATCTCCATACCCAAAGTGGTACTCGAACTCACAGCCCGAAGATCAAGAGTTGCACACTCTACCGACTGAGGCAGCCAGGTGCCCCAAAATCATTTATAGTTTTCAACTGAGAATAAATAGAGTTCAAATTATCAAAAGGTTATGTTAAATTCATATCAAACTTCCAAGTAAAAACTTTAATAAATGTTGACGATAGCTTTTACAGGCTTTAAGTAGTGTTTCCACGCTTCTTTATGCAGCTTTTATTATTTTTTTAATCTAACCTGAGTAAGGGTAAAATTGAAATGTAGATGTTACTCTCCTTTGAAGCACATTAAAAATGAGATACAGATCAGCAGCAGTTGTGAATTGCTAGAAGCTCCTGGACTAAATGATATCCTTACAGTCTAGGAAGACTATTAATGGAGAATCTATGGTCAGATACACATATCTGCAGAAAATTCAAATAGAATTATATACAAATGCTGGCATCTCTCTCCATGGGAGCTCTGCTACAGTGACTGAGTTCTAAGGCTCCAGTTTCAGGAGTTAATCACCTAATGTCTTTCGCCTCCCTATTCCCCCCTCCCTGGAAAATAACCAACCCAGCAAATGGGGTGTGTATTTTATTTATTTTCTTTCTTTTTTTCTTTATCTTATTTAATTTTTCTTTTTTTTAGGGGGTGTGTATTTTAAAGGTAATCAAATCAGATTTAGTTTCATGACGCTGTCACATTATCAGTCTATTAGGTGAACATTATGCCCTCTTTTTACTCAAGAACAAAAAATACACTGAAAGTTGAAAATTTAAATGGCATTCCTTTGTTTCCTTTCTGTGTGTTTTTTTAGTTTGATAGTCAGCTTTGAATTACTAGTTTTCTGTGAAATTTTAGAAGTTAGAATCAGTAACTTAATATCTGAATGTAAATGAACTTTGCCATGCATAAATTAATTGCATAATTTAAGTAGTTATCATTTATTAATTGGCTATAAATTGTTATTAAACAGCCAATATCCATGTTTCATGCCATGGAGTTACATTCCTGATGGAATCATGCCAATTTTCTGGAGGGTGGTATATTGGACATCACAATTTTTAACATGGTAAGTGGCAATGAAGGATAAAAAGTTTTTTAAGTTTTGGCTAAAGTAAAAAGAAAAAAGAGTATGCTCTCTTCACGAACCTTCATCTTTCAGAATTCAAGTGTTACTTATTTTCTTCTTAAATCTGTATATTCTATTTTCTGCTCATTCAGTTCTCTCCCATCTTAAAAGAAATGAAAAGAAAAAAAACCAGGCAAACGAGAAATAGAAAAAGAGGAACCAATTTTTCCTGTCACCATTCCCCTCCAGTTAATGCCTTCTCCCTTGACCTTCTTCAATTCATTCTTTTTCTAGTCCCAGTTTTACATGAAACTGCTCTTGCTAAGGTCATCATTATCTCCTGGTTTTCTTTCTTTCGGCTTAGCCCAAACTGCTGAATTTCCTTCATGGGTTCCATTTCTGTGGCCCATTTCCTAAATGTTGGTGTTCCTAGGGGTCCGATCTTCAGTCATCTTGTTACCTGACCCTCCCTGTAGAGCTCTAATTACAGCTATAGCCACGATGTATTCCAAATGTTTCTATCCACTCTAGCTTTGTCTTTTTGTTTGTTTTTGTTTGTTTGTTTAAGAGAGGGGGTGGTGGGAGACGCAGAGGGAGAGGGAGAGAGAATCTTAAGAAAGCTCCATTCCCGTCACGGAGCCTATCGTGGGGCTCGATCTCACCATCCCAAGATTATGACTTGAGCCGAAATCAAGAGTCAGAGGCTTAACTGACTGAGCCATCCAGGCGCCCCAAAGCTTTGTCTTTCTTCTCTGCTCCAAACACGTTATTCACTACGTACTGAGCATTTTAGACACTCTGCAGGCAGCTAAGCTCTAAAACTGAAGCTAGTGAACATCGCAAGAGAAAAATCACACAGCAGAGTAGAGTAGCACCGCTGTAAATTCATGTTCATTGAACTCATCTGGGCCCTCAGCATTGCCAAACTTTCCTGCTTTGTGTCTCTAGTCTGCTCTTCATTCTCCACAGCAAGACTTCAAACCTCAAACCTCTACTCTTCTCTTTGTGGTTCTTTCTCTCTCTTTTACGTCCTAGAATCAGTCACCTTCTCCCCTTGCAGAGGACTTTACTTTCTACTTCACAGTGAAAATAGAAGTCATCAGATGGCAGCTCTTCAGCCTCTCACCAGCACACCTACCAACCCACCCTTTTCCTTTCCTCTCAAAGAATAAGTCACTCTCAAAGTGACTTCCGAGTGATATGGACCCATCTCCTTCAGCTCTTGTTACCTATACCTGCAGCTTCCAGTTTCAACAAAGCATACACAATTCTGTCATCCCTTTAAAAAAAGAAAGAAAAAAACCAAAAAAATCTCTCAAATGCAGCCCTTTCCGGCTTCCTGGCTTCTAACCTCATTGATCTACTCATCACAGCTTAATTTTTGGAGGGAGACTTTTTTCTTGAAGTATAAATTGGTACAGAAAAGTGACAAGTTTTGTTTAGTTTGACTTTTTTCAAAGTGAATACACGTGGATAACCAGCACTCAGATGGTATTATAGAACATTAACAATGTGTATGCTGTATCTAGAAGCTTCCCTCATACCCCTCCCAGTCATACCCTCCCACAGGTAGCCATGATTCTGACATCCATCATCCTATAGATTAGTTTTGCCATTTTTGAGCTTTGTAAACATGGAGTTATATGGTATGTATTTTTCTGCATCTCTTTTTTGGCTCACAAATACGGAAGATTCATCTATGTTGTATTGTGTGTATCAGTATTCTTTTCTTTTTCATTTCTGGAAAATCTTCCATGATATGAATATGCCACAGTTTATCCTACCCAGCCAAACTTCTCAGGTGAATTGTCTACATGTAGTGTCTTCATTTACTCATTGCTCACTCTTTCCTCAACCCTTCGAACCCTGTTTTCTAGCCCCGCTTCTCCACTCACACACAAGTCTTCATTGACTTGACTTCTTGGCAGCATTTGATGATTGTTTTCTCTCTCCACTTTGAAACACTTCCTTCTCCTGTTTTCTCCTCCATATGCTCCTTGGTTTTCTCCCAGCCCTCTCTGCTGTTCTGTCTCTGTGTCCTTTGCAGGCTCTTCCTCCTCCTGTTTCTCTCCCTCTCCTTTAAAAGATACTCTTTCTCAGGGCTCAGCCTCAGCTCTTTCCTTCTCCTTCTAAATCTCATCTACCGGTGTCAGGTCAGTACCACTGATGTGGTGAGGACTCCTGAATCTATCTGTGTTTCCACCCCTCTTTCCTGAACTCTGAAGCTGGATAGCCAAATACTTCCTGTGTGGCTCCTTTGAGATGTGTCCTAAGTACTTCAATTCAGTGGATTCACAGCCAGTCTCCTCCCCTCCTGCTTCTTACCACATCGCCACCCCTTACCCTCTCCCACGTAGTCCCAGTTTTGTTCGCTTTCAGTCCATTCTTCCTGCTGAAGCCTTATCAGTCTTTAGAAGACTTCAATTTGGTCGTGTCTCCTGTAAAGAAAAAGGTTCCTCGTTGTCTGAATGCAGTCCAAAGGCTTCACAAAGATTTTAAAGGCTTTTTTTTTTTTAAGATTCATCATAAGTCCCTCACACTGTTGTACTCTCTGCTGGTTGTTGTGACCTCCTTTGCTCCCAAAAATGTGCTTTGCTCTCTCCAAAATTTAATGTTACAAAAATACTCAGTCATCTATTAGAGTTCAGTATTAATAATTACTCAAAATCCTATTTATTTGTGAAAAGAACTGCACATTAAAATTGAGATTCATATAATTCTGGTATTTTGAGATTAAACAGACATATCAATTGTTTCTTTAATCATATTTTTCCAACCATCTAGGATTCTGTTACCTTTTATGCAGTCATATGCAAGATCAGGAGGGTTTTCTATCACTGGAAAGATCAAAACTGCACTGATTGAGAATGCAATCTACTATGGCACCTATTTGCTGATTTTTGGAGCATTTTTAATTTATGTAGCTGTAAACCCACATTTGCACTTAGAATGGTAAGAAAAGTTGCCTTCTTAACATTGTTTCTGTGTGTATTTGCATTTTTTTAATTTATTTTTATCTCACGTGTGCAGATAAACAGACATTTCATTGAGAAACGTATCAAGTTATGTGTTTTCTAGATTCCTCAAAAAGAAATTTAAATAATCCCTATTAGTAAGAAGAAAAAATGGAATAATATATTTAAATACAGCTATTAGATGAAGGACTAATGCTTTGTCTAATAGCTTTATGTTAGAAGTATTAACCCTTATGATTTTTTTTAAGTTTTTATTTAAATTCCAGTTAGTTAACATGCAGTGTAATGTTAGTTTCAGGTGTACAATTTTGTATATGACAAAATAACTTGTTTTCTTTTTTCATTGGAACTTGTGAATATTTTTTTAAAGATTTATTTTACAGAGAGAGAGCGGGTGTGCACCCACACTTGGGGGGGGTGGGCAGAGGGAGAGGGAGAGACAGAATCTCAAGCCGACTCCACGCTGAGCTGGAGCCCAAGGCGGGGCTCAATCTCAAAACCCTGAGATCATTACCTGAGCAGAAACCAAGAGTCAGATGCTAACCGCCTGAGCCAACCAGGTGCTCCAGAACTTGTGAAAATTTTTTCTTTTGTTCTGACTGTAGTTTGAGGGCATAGTTCTCTCTGATGTTAGATTCAGACATTATAATAAAATTGAAATCTGTATTATACTTGTGATCTATGTAATATATGTAAAGAGATAGAGCTCAGAAATTTAGGAATAGAGCAGTGATGATAATTCTCACTATTGCATTCCTGAGATTTGTGTCGGTGTGCCTCAACATAAGTTAAACATTTTTTTAGGCTTTAAAATTTTTTCAGGCTTCTCTTGTTAATATTGAGTAAGATAGACCCTAATGAAAAAATATCTTTTCTTTGGACAAAATACGTATATTTTTTGCCAGGAATTATCCTGGATTCTAATTTTAACTGTAATGGAAGCAGTGTTTCGTGTGTTAAAGTCTATTTCTGCAGTCACGCTCTAACTTCCTCTTAAAACACGCAGATTATCTGCTGTTGCTAAAAGAGTAGCTGAGGCTCGGAAGATACAATTTTTTTCATATAAAATCCTAACCATCCTTTAGGACTGTTTTCTGTAAAGCCATTTAATACTAGTTAGTTCTATTTTACATTTTTTTGGAAAAAGTTATCTATCACAGCTCTCTGCTTGTGTTTCCCCTTTCCCAGGAACCAGCTTCAGACAATTGGGATAGCTGCCGCAAATACATGGGGCCTGTTTCTTCTCGTGTTGTTGCTGGGGTATGGTTTGGTAGAAATTCCTCGGTCATACTGGAATGGGGCAAAAAGAGGTTATCTGCTTATGAAAACGTATTTTAAGGCAGCCAAACTGATGACAGAGAAAGCAGATGCAGAAGAGACTTTAGAAGATGTCATGGAGGTAAGCAAGTTCCAACCTTACAGTCAGTCATGGTTGTTTTTTTTGCTGCTGTGTTAGCACATCAATGGGCTTTACTCTGGATGTTTGGTGATGTGCGGTCCTTCAGAATGTCCCGTCCATTAGCATGACTTCTTACTGGCCATTCAGCTTCATGAGATGTCCCCTCCACCTTCCAGCCACCAAAGACTCAGCGTGAATATGTTCAACAGTGCAGGGTTATGCTTGTCATCTTGGGATAACTTTGAATAGCGCCCCTCTTTTACTCTTAAAAGTCTCCCAGATTAAATGATCAATTAATGGTTAAGCTGACATGCCTTCCCTGGTCCTCTAGACTCTTAGACATTCAGCACCCATTTTTTTAAGTGAATGAATAAATGAACAAAAGAATACATGTTAGGATTAAAAAAATCTGATTTTGACTTTTTTGCATTCATTCCCTACAAAATGTAAGAATGGTAGCAGAAGACATTGATTCAAAATGTAGGAGTAAATCTACAAATAGTAGTCTGTTAACATTTCCTCAGACATCCGATGGCTATTATAACATTTTTCAAAAGAAATAATTCATGTTTGATAATTTTTATATTTGTATCTGATATGTTTATTTTTGAAAATTGGAATTTTTTGAAAAAACATGAAAATTTATATTTGGTAATATATAATTCTATAATACATGAATATAATAAATATATAAATAAATATATAATAAATAATTTTTAAAAAGATAATTTAAATTTGATAGTGTCCACCTTAAAAGTTGGTACTAAATTCAGTTGTTTCAGATTTGAGGAATATTGGTTACACCAGTTACTCAATATTCCTTTAAGAAATATAAATCCAGCTAATTATGGCAAGACCTGGATTTGGCTAGGAGAAATCCTCAATCGCTGAGGAAAGATGGATTTTGTTGTTGTCGTTTGTTAAGTAAGAGCCCTCTCCTGAAGAAAAGGATGTGGAAAATTAGGACTGGCGTTGGTGCTTTCTTTGTTATTTTAACACAGGTATAAGGTGTAAGGGATTTAAAATTTTTTAGATTTAGAGAAAACTTTCTGTGTAAATTAGATACCACTCTTTATTGACTATATTTGGGATATTATGTTGTATAAATTTAAAGTGTACAAAATGTTAATTTGACGCATTTATGTATTGTGAGAAACCCCTCTTTCCATAATGAATGTTTTGAAAATCATAGCAGCAGGTCTACATAGATAGCAGAACTCCCGCCCTTTCTCCCCCCATCAAACAGCGTGATTTGTCAGGTATGAATTTCTTTGCCTATATATTTGAAGGGAATTTGGGATCTTTTATGTTTTTCTGAATATCTAAAAATTTGTAAACTTGAGAAAATGTTTTCATCACTTAATAAATACTTGTCTTCTTGATGTGTTAAGTGCTGTGCAGAATTGGCCATTAGGATACTAACTGTCTGTTGTGGAAAATTAGGCACTGTGTGGCCAATGTGATGTGAACGATACAAAGGCAATGCTGTAGTGTAGAGAGGTTTCAGTTCTGAATAGTGATCAGAGGAGGAAGTGAAATATGATCTGGGTCTTGAAGGATGGATAGAATTTTCATAGCTGACAGCATCCTGGTCAGGTATCAGGTTTTAAAACCAAATTAATTGAGCATAAGTTTGATTTGGGAAAGATAAAAGCTTGTAAGGTTTGAAAGACAGGTTGTAGCCAAAAAAGCAGGGCCATGAATGTCAGACTGAAAAGTCCAGACTATTTTTTGAAAGCAGTGAGGAATCATTAACACCTTGCAGTGGAAGAGACCTGATCCTGTATGTGGTTTCGGATGATCTGTCTGATGGAGGTGTGTAAAATAAGGCATGGAACAAGAATATGCATACTTTGAGAAAAAAAAAACAACGTTCCGAATACACCTTTTAACATCACAAAGTTCAGTCACCTTTTTTTGGTAATTATTAATTATATTTTTCAGCAATCCATAAATTCTCCCAAATGCGGTTTTGTAAAAACCAGTTTAGCATTTTATGTTTTTCTCTGAAGTGAATATGTACAATTGTGTGCCTGTTATTTTTCTTTGAAACATTAATAAACTTCTAAGCCATGTCAAACCATTCAAAAGGTACTTGCTAGAGGCCTTCAAGAGATCGCCCCTACCTTTAGTCATTTTTTGAGGTGGAGAATTTGGAGGAGGGGGAAGCAGCTACTTATTTCCACTGAAAATTGCCTATTAGCCTGACTTCATAGATGTTGTGTGCCCTGCCTAGTGATTAGGCACAGTAATATCAGTGCTCAAAGTTTTGTTATTTTATTTTTGAAGAAAAGAAGCAATATTTCAAATACTTTCCACACTTCATATGAACTTTTAAAGGAACCTTAAGTTTATAACAGCTATAGTAAATATCAAGAGTTAACTGTTTCAGTACTTATTTTTGTATAATAGGCTCAAGAATTTAAAGGAAAAATACAGTATTTTTATGTATAATGTATAAGCAGACTGTATGGTTCATATTCAGAGTTGTGCTAACAAGTCAACAAAACTTGAAGGCAGTTTAGTAAGAGAAAACTGTAATGCAGTGATGATTCAAGCGTCTTTTAAGAAAAACCCAAGTCTTATCCTGTTACTCCCGTATTTAGGCCTCACTCACTGACCTCAGATAAACTTACTCCAAGGCCTTCTGGAGTGCTTTGCTTTTCTTCAGCCTGATCAAGTGCTGCTCAGGCGCTTACTCTCCTTTTCCCCTTGGTCACACTGTACTTCTTTCAGTTCCTTGAAACTCCTTGTGCACTTCTGCTTGGAGCCTTCGGACAGGCTGCCCCTCTCTTTGGAATATTCTTGCCCCCGCCTTTGGTTGGCTGACCTTACTCCTACTCATGCTTTTTATCTCCAGCTTAAATCATCAGTTTATCAGAAGGCCTCCCACGCTAGATTACACAGCACTTTCCATACCATTTCTTCTTGAGTAATGTCTATTTTTCTCATGAAGCTAAGCTCCTGACAGGAGCAATGTCTGCTGGTACAATTTATTCATAAGGTCTACGTATTTTGAATTTTGATGGGTATTGCTAATTTACCTTTCAAAGAGGTTATATAATTTTGCCAGAAAATTGTTCTTATTTTTAAAATTTGTAATTGTTTTTAGTGAGCTTGACTCTCTTTCCAGACATTTATCGACTAATAGTATTTCTTATGTGTCTTCCCAATTTTCGCTTGATTTGGAAGCACTCTCCATATATTAAGGGAAGTGGATTTTTTTTGTCATACAAGTATTTTTTCCATAATTTTGTCTATATGCCAGATGGTTTCCCTGACTCCAGTTTTGTATCCCTTAGGGCCATTCTCTCCTCTACAATCAGAATGTTCTTTTTAATACCCTGGTCGGTTCTCTTGCTTCCCAGCCCTTGGACATGCCGTTGCTTTTGCCTAGAACAGTGGTTCCAACTTTTAAAAAATTTCATTAGTATTATAGAATATTGTTCTTTGGGAACTACTGGTTCTAAAGATTCCCTTCCCAAACCCCTTTATGCCTTTCATACTCACATAAATTGCTTATTACCTCACCACCAGCCCACAATCTTTAAAGTCCTATAACATCGTGTCTTCCTACCACACCCTCCAGCATGGATTGTGGTGACTTTCCACCTAGCACAGTGCTGGCGTCTAGTGTGCTCTTAATAACCAATGTGGAATGAGTCAGTAGTTGGGACTGCTATAGAGGATTCTCCCATTGGAAAGGAGCAGGTGCTTTGTGATGCTTGCTGCCTGTTGCTTCCTCCAGTTTCTTCACCGTATTTTAGATAATGAGATAATTGAGCTTCCTGAGCAGGGTGGAGGACCACAGCATCACAGTTTGTCTGATCCTTCATGACTTTTTTATAATGCTTACTCATCTTTGTGTACCAAGTAAGCAAATGATAAGGGAATAAATCTTAGTAGCAAAAAACCTGAGGGTATAGGCATTGCTATTCTAGCACTATGTATTTTTTACTTACGTTCTTAAGAACTTTTATTCAGTGAATGGAGCTTCATGTATATGCTGAGTAGTTTGGGTTGAAATTAAACTTGTGAGAACATATATAGTACCTAGAACAGTCTCATTTGAAATGTATGATGTACAGAAATGGAAATATTTTTATTCCTCTTACTGTTTTTATAGGAGGTTCGTAAAGTGAATGAAAGCATCAAGTATAACCACCCATTGAGAAAATGTGTTGATACAATACTTAAAAAGGTAATTAATCATGGGCGCCTGGGTGGCTCAGTTGGTTGAGCGACTGCCTTCAGCTCAGGTCATGATCCTGGAGTCCCAGGATCGAGTCCCACATCGGGCTCCCAGCTCAGCAGGGAGTCTGCTTCTCCCTCTGACCCTCTTCCCTCTCGTGCTTTCTATCTCTCATTCATTCTCTCTCAAATAAATAAATAAAATCTTTAAAAAAAAAAAGGTAATTAATCATATCCTCATCTTTTTTCTTTTGACATATACATTTTTAGAACAGAATTTTGTGATAAAAATATGAGAACAGCCTATGACTGAGGTCTTCCCATCTCCTTTCCATTTTCATGGAAATATTAACCATAAACCAGTAGTAATCTGCACATAGAATTTGTTCAGTTGTTATTACAAGTTTGACATTTAATTATTGGCAATATTTTTCATTGAAATGTGGATGTAGAAGTTATGTTAAATAATGTATAATCATTGCTATGATGCAGCGATGGAGATGGACCTTCACAGTTTCTAAGTGTCATTGAATGTGGTCACTACAGACCTATCTCCTTAATAAACTAGGGCCTCAATAATCTCTTGTACTCACTTCCTACATGTCAGTTTATGATATATGAAGTACATCGTAAAATGAATGACCCTATGAGATATTTAAGACAGATAAGAAGCCATACGATTAAGGTTTTGCTGCATTAAGATTGAATTAGGGGTATTCATATACTTCTAAAATGATTATTCCAAAAATGAGCTGCTCGGTCGTTGTCTTTGCAACCATAGAACGACTGAACTATTTCTTTTCCTCTATTTTAAATCTATTATTCTGATTATTAGCTAGTGTTCCCTTCAGCTAAGATGATGGTCATGAGAATCAGTTCTCTAATCATTTCTCTTACATTACTACCTTTTGAGACCTATTTGGGGAGGTTAAGTAACTTGCTCAAGTTCAGGTAAGTAAGGAATAATTAATAGGGCAGATGACTCCAAATCATGTATGTGTTTGTTTTTCTGTACCACGCCTTTTAAAAATTCAACATCTTGGATTTGTTGTGATTCTTCATTTTTAGGTAGGAAAATAATTGACAGTTTTGTCAGGTGCCTGCATAGCCTAATCCTCTCAAATACTAGTTGCTTCATGTAGGTCAGCTCCCTTCCCTACCACAGCTAGTATATCTGATCATAAAGGTTAATATTAATAGGGGTACGAAGGCACTCAGTACATCTAAAACATTTTGAAGAAAATGTCAGCAACTAAAAATCCAACTGTTTAGAGATGCCAATAAAGGAAGAAGATGTTTTTGAGAAAATTAGATATGCCCAAGAATGGAAGATTTTGTAATAAAAATAAAATTTTAACTTTTTTGCAAATGAGATTTTTGAAAAAATCTCCTTGTCCCTTTTAGTGCCCTACAGAGTATCAGGAAAAAATGGGTAGGAACATGGATGATTATGAAGATTTTGATGAAAAGCATAATACCTACCCAAGTGAAAAAAGTCTGGTAAAACTACATAAGCAGGTAACTTTATTAATAATAGCTTTTTTACTTAATGATGATTTTGGTTAGATTTATAATTACTGCCCACAAAAAGGGAATTTGGAGTGAATGTGTATTTGAAACTTTCTTTGATCCTGTGCATTATTCTTTGAAGTGTTTTAACTGTGTGTTTCTCAACGGGGTACTCTTGGTATTTGGGGAGGGAGAATTACCCACTGAGCCAAATTGTTACATATATCATAGAATATTAACATCCTTGGCCCAACCCAGCAAATGCCACTAACACTTCCCCACTGTTTGATAACCAAAGCATACTATCTAGCAGGAAGATGAAACACTATTGGATCAGAACACAGATACAACCCCCATTCTCTTTTTTAGGTGATTTATTCAGTTCAGAGGCACCGTCGAACTCAAGTACAGTGGCGGATTCTTTTGGAGCAAGCGTTTTATCTAGAAGATGTAGCAAAAAATGAAACTAGTGCCACTCGTCAGTTTGTTCACACCTTTCAGTCACCAGAGCCAGAAAATAAATTTATCCAATATTTTTATAATCCTACAGTTGGTATGTAATTTGACATAAATTTCAAAATTTAGTGATAATTTTTCTAAAGGAAAAAAGTATATAATTTCACCAGTGCAGAGTTGAATTGTATTTGTACCATTTGATGTCTACCATGTGGTGATATTATATATCTGATAAACTATTTTACTGATTGTATAACAGATAATCTCTCAGTTTCCACTGTTACTTCACAGTTAATCAAAATCCTATGCAAAAATATATGCAATACATCAGGCATATTATGTATTCATAATATCTACTTAAAATAATGAGAATTTTAAGCAGTTTTACATCACAAGCTTGGGTCCCTTCTTCAGTCTTGACATACTAAAATATTCCCCTAAAAGGCGTCTTTGATTATTTACATCTGTTGGTCTATTTACAAGACCGACACTAAGTAGTCATAATTATTTCATTTTCTTTAATGATTATTTATGACACTCTGGTCAAACTTTATCAGATTTAGTATGAAGAACTTAATGAACACATGTCAAAGTGTCATCATATTAAAACTTACATTTACCTTATTTATCTAAATAAACAATTATGTTCACCTTGATTCTCTTTCTCATGTTTGGTCTTGAGTACGAAGACATATGGCCATAAAATATCTCGTAAAACTTCTTCAGCAGAGATCTTTTCTAATTAAATAAAAGAAATACTTGTTTTCATTCATTCAACAAATATTTGAGAATGTATTGCTATCTATTGTTGGGTGCTTGGTATATATCAATGAATGTAAAGACAAGTGCCTCTTTATGGAGTGAGAAAAATAGGCAATGTACACATAAAGGTTTGAAGAAGGTGCTGAGTACGTAGAAGTGGGAGTTCAGGAGAGAAGTCTGGTCTACAAGTGTAAATCAGGGCATCATCAATGTATCAGTGGGCCCTGGGTCAGAACAAAATCAACAAAGAAGTGATTGGGAAAGAGGAGACAAAGTCTGAGGACCAAGCCCGAGGCACTTCAGAAGGCAGACTTCAGCTTGATGGGGAGGTACCAGGAAAAGGCTAAAAGGGGAGTGGCCAGTGAAGTAGGAAGAAAAGCAGGATGGTAAGGTGTTTTGAGGAAAGGGATATGTAAAGTACCTTTCCAGATGTTGTAGATGGGTCTAGTGTCATGCACATGAAGCCTTGACCATTGGATTTCAGAGAAGTAAGGTGGAGGTTGAGGGGATAGGAAAGCCCAGTTGGAATTTAAAAAGCAATTAGAAGCAGGGAATAGAAAACTCTCAAAATGTTATCCTTATCAAAGGGAGTAGAGAAAAGATGTAGTAGCTGAAGGAGGATGGCAGAGTCAAGACCAATTATAGCATGTAATTTGGGAATGATACCTTAGAGGAAATGTAATGAGAGAAGAGAATGGCTGGGATGATGTTCATGAGGAGGAGCAATGCAATGGGAAATAGTGAACAGTGCAGAGAGAATGCCCTTAGGAAGTAAGGCACAAATGTACCGGAGAAAGTAAGAAAGGGTAGTGGTGGGAACTTGGGGAGGTTCCCTTCTGCCAGCTTCTCAGTGAAATGCTGGGAGTAAGTGTAAGGGAAGAAATTTTGGAGATTTGAAGAAAGAAGAAAAGGTACAAAATAGTTGCTAAGGAGAAAAAGCATGGGAGAAGATTGGTGAATTGTAGTAGGCTAGCCAGGCAGTGCTCAGGGTCCACCTGAAGCTGGGGATTAAAAATTTAGAGTGAGACCAGTCAGCAAAGGTGTGTGTCTCACTTCTGCAGCATGCAGCTCCGTGGGTGCAGGTTCAGAGCAGCTGGAGAGTAGGATCAAGCCAGGCTGTGGTTTCTCTTAGCAAGGGCAGGAAAGCAAGAGAGGGCAAAGAAATTGGGATGTTGGAGAGTAAAGACCATGGAATCGGAGCTGGTGAAGAAAGCAATAGGATACCAGGATGTTAAGTGGCAATACAAAGGTGGTAGAATGAATGGATCATTGGTTCAGGTAAGGTCAGTCAGTGGAATCGGAATATTAGGTGAAGATATTGCTTGGAAACAGGGCCACTGTAATGAGATTAAAAGGAGTTATTGGCAGTAAGAGGTTTAGGGATGGCGGTGGGAATGAGTTGTGAAGGTGGGGTGAAGGATGAGATCACAGGAGGAAAGGAGGGCCAGGAAGTGCAAGGCCCTAGGGTACTGAAAAAAGGATCACCGGTGTGGACCTTGAACTCACCAGGAATTGTGCTGAGAGTAAGGTTGAAAGATTTAGAGTGTGAGCCAAGAGCTCAGCACCTCAGTGAATGAAGTGAAAATACAGCCTTTTCAATTTGGGCAGTTTTTTTTTGACTCCTATTTTTTACCTAAAGTCAGACTTAACTGAAAGTTGCCAGAATAGTACAAAGAATTCTTGTATATCCTTCACCCAGATTCTCCACATATTAATGGTTTACCATATTCATCTGCTTTATCTTTCTCTCTGTATACGTATTTTTCCTTAATCTTTTCAGAATGGAATCCCGACTTGATGACTTTTTGCTCCTAAATGTTTCAGCGTATATTTTCTAAAAATAAATACATTTTCCCATATAACCAAATACAATGACCAAAATCAGGAAATGAACTTTGATACAGAACTGTTATCTATAGACCTTAATCAGGTTTTGTAAATTGTCCCAAATTATTCTTTGTTAAAAATCCCAGATCATGCATTGCATTCGGGGTCATGTCCCCTTAGTTTCCTTTCATCCGGACCAATTTCTCAGCCTCTCTTTCTGTTTTATGACATTGATGTTTTCAGAGACACGCCTGTTTTTTATTGGGTGTCCCCGAATTTGAGTGTGGTATTTCCTCATGTTGGATGCAGGTTTTGCATTTTTGGTGGGAATACTGCCACAGTGATACTGTATTCTCGGTGCTCCATGGCAGGAGGCACAGGATGTCAGTTTATCCCGTTCCTGGTGCTTATTTGGTGAGGAGGAGATCTGCCTGATTCCTGCACTGTGAACTTACTCTTTTCCTCTTTGCAGTTATGTATCTTGTACAGAGAAATTTTTGGAACAATGTAAATACCCTGTTGCTCCTTTATGGTTTTCCTAATCACCTTTTTCTTTTATCTTCCAGAATGGTACTGGGAATGTCTCTTGCGACCATGGTTTTATAGGATACTTGCCATGGTTTTGTCTGTCTTCTCTGTGATTGTTGTGTGGTCAGAATGCACATTCTTTAGTACTACACCTGTCTTATCCCTCTTTGCAGTCTTCATACAGCTGGCTGAAAAAACTTACAATTATATTTATATCGAGGTCAGTTTATTTTGTATCTGTCATAAATGTGTGTCAGTTCATAGTATAGCTGTCAACTGTTGTTTTTTTCTTTATATATTCTAGTAATGAGGAGAGCATTGAAGTGCCCCGCAGTGTTACTATTCAGATTTTCAAAAATGAGCTTCATCCATTTGCCCAGACTATAAAAACTAAGAGCTGTGTTTGAGGAGAGATGACAAGGTGCCAAATAGTACAGAATTCTTTTACAAGAATACATTGAGCCTGTTTATTGGCATAAACATATGAAGCCACGTAACTTAAAGAGTCTTCATGTGGAGAGTTGCCAAGGGAGTGGGAGAACGGGCTCACTTCAGGAGGTAGATTTGAAACCCATGGACGACAGGATGTTGAACTGGTTAAGATGTAGATTTTTTTTCCATAAATTCATTTGCGTAGACAGTTAAGAAAAACTGTTCCCGTGTTTAAATTTTAGAACGTCGATAAATGTTAGCCGGAAATAAAGGATGATGCTCACAAACGTATGTAAAGTGCTCAGGTCCATTCGTCTTCAGTTGGTTTTGCTTGTTTTTCAGATTGCTTGCTTCCTTTCCATCTTCTTTCTCAGCATCTGCGTTTACTCTACTGTGTTCAGGATCCGTGTGTTCAACTACTATTACTTGGCCTCACATCACCAGACTGATGCGTACAGCCTTCTGTTCAGTGGCATGTGAGTAGAAGGGTGTTTACAAACATGGGACTGCCTCCATTGCGTGCATTCTATGGATCTCTCATTTACTGCTTGTCCTCTATGGGTGTTCCACTCACCCCCCTATTTATGTGAGCTCATTGATCAGGTTTAAGCGTGAGTTAGATGTTTGATTGCTAGCTGAATCCTGCTTGAAGTTTAAAGTTACAGTAGGTTTACTAGGTTAGGGAGGCAAAGACAGGCAGCCTGGATTTACAATTCAGAGATTCAGTAAATAGGTGAGTAAATAATACTAGGGCCATTTGAGAGTTTAGAGGCTAAGTCAGACCTAGAGAGTTCTGAGATTCCGTGGCATCAGACTGCATCGTGAAGGGCTTAAGAAAACTAACAAGAAGAATCTTTGCTAAGAGATTTAGCAAGAGTTTAGAGCAACATCTCTAGCTTGGGCTATTATTTGTCCCTATTGTTAAATAGTCATATTGGGTATTTATAAGGGGTGGACTTAGGGAAGTTCACAGAGGAATCCATATCTGAAGCATCTTTAAGACTTTTTTCTTTTGCCAGTTTTTCTCCAAATAATTGTAGAGTCATAGGTAGTTGTGAGTGTAGTACAAAGAGTCCTGTTGGCCTTCCTCCAGCTTCCCCGAAGGGAGACGTTTATATAGCTGTTGTATAGTATCAAAACCAGGAATTCAACATTGATATATTACTGTCAATTAGATGATAGACCTTATTTAGTTCTCACCATTTTTATCCTTCATTTGTGCGTGCGTGGGTGCGTGTGTAGATTCATGTAACCACCACTACAGTCAAGATACGGAATTGTTCGATCACACAAAATAACTCATGTTGCCTCTATGTATTCACATCCTCCCTTCATTTTCCTCTCCCCGTATCCTCCAGCTCTAGTTCTGTGAGGGTCTCTTTTGAGCTGGACAGAACTGAGCTTAGGCAGTTCTTTATACCCGAACTTGTCAGAGTGACATACTTCAATACAACTTCAGGTCTTTTATGTAGTGAGTACAGCTCCCCTTGAGGATATTGCCATCCTTGCCGTACTGAGACAGGTTACACAGATGGTAGACTTGGAGAAAGTGTATACACAGGCACTCCACAAATTCTTAGGCTAAAGCAGTGGCAGACACCACCAAAGCAGGCAGCCTGAGGCTGGAGTTTTGCCCTGTAGGTGTTGTTTTAGGGAGATGCAATTAATAGGATTTTCCGAATGTCTCTCAAGTAAGGACAGTTCACATTAAGAATTCAAGATAAATGCAATACAAATAGATGAAAATAATAAAATGCATTTTGCTACCATATATTTTACATATTCTGTTTATAAATGTTTATTACAGGTTATTTTGCCGTTTGACTCCTCCTTTGTGTCTTAATTTCTTGGGTTTGACACATATGGATTCATCCATCTCTCACCAGAATACACAGCCAACTGCTTATACATCTGTAAGTATGGTTGGAGCACAGTTTTTTTAGATTCATTGTCTCTATGAGATGTATTATTTTTTTTTTTTTTTAAGATTTTATTTATTTATTTGAGAGAGAGAGAATGAGAGAGAGCATGAGAGGGAAGAGGGTCAGAGGGAGAAGCAGACTCCCTGCTGAGCAGGGAGCCCGATGTGGGACTCGATCCTGGGACTCCAGGATCATGACCTGAGCCGAAGGCAGTCGCTTAACCAACTGAGCCACCCAGGCGCCCCTCTATGAGATGTATTATTGTGGGATTTCTTTTAATGCCAGCAGAAAAGTTCTGTAGCGTTATTAGGATCTTTTTTTTTTAATATCAAACTTTCTTTTTTAAAGGTTGTATATGTAATTACTAATGACTGGATAAAAATTACTTCGCTCTCTTTTACTGTAAAAAAAGTTTTTTGGTTCACATAGGTTGTGCAGCTGAGCAATATCAATAGACCTCATTATTAGCTTTTATATTTATAATCTTCATGGACATGATAATTTTCAGTAATATTTACAAAATATTAATTTTCTTTAGGTGAAAGCCTTAATAAATAAGCAAATTCAGATATAATTGACATATAGCATTGTATTAGTTTAAGGTGTACAACACAATTATTTGATGTATGTATATATCTTGAAATGACTGTCACGGTATCTTTAGTTAACATCCATCACCTCATGTACTTACAAGTTTTTTTTCCTTGTGATGAGAACTTAAAAATAAATCCATTTAGTGCTTTATTTCTACTTTTCAAAAAGTCCAAATTTGTTAATATGGTTGGTTATGAGTGAATTTTCCAATGGTGGAAAGGAATATAGAAAATATAGAACTGTACTAATTTAACTTTTTTTTTTTTTTTCTCTTTAGATTATGGGTTCCATGAAAGTTTTATCCTTTATTGCAGATGGATTCTATATATATTATCCTATGTTGGTGGTAATTCTCTGCATTGCTACTTACTTTAGGTAAGAATCGTAACATCAATTATTTTTCCTCTAACTTTTGTCCAATCTGCTCTTTTAAATATTTACTGGTTAGGTTTTGGTTGTTTGTTTTATTGTGGCTTTGGGGCAACTGGGGGTAGTTTAAAGGATTTGCTTAAGTGATGAGGTCAGCCTCTCCCTCTGAAGGTACTTTTAAGAAAAGAGAGGTACAGTCATTCTTTTACAAGTATTTAGGCTACAAAGTGATAGGATTGATTACAGAATGTTAACTCTTAAGTCCCAGACTTCAACACTGACAGGCAGTGTAGCTTATAAAATACCCCCATGCCCATCTTTTAGCCAGTAACATAAATGAGCCTTAGAGCTTTCCCCACAATCATTGCCAGGTTTCTAGAGGCCTCAGACCTTCACCAGCACAAAACATCAGATGAGGAGCAATTGTAATTAGGCAGTACATTTAAGGCTGGAAAGGACACAGGCTACTATTTTTTATAGGATTAGAAAAAAGTGATTGAATCTTGGCTAGGGTACCACTCAAAAGGAGGAAAGACAGATGTGCTTGGCTTTCTAGCACCTTGTCTTCCCTACTTGTATATGTCAGGTGCCCTCCTCCTGTACTAGGTCTGCGGTCTTTGCTGACTGTGTAAGTGCTCCGTGACACACCAAAAAGACTGCTCTTAAAAATATATTTATTTATTTTTAAAGATTTATTTATTGATTTATTTATTTGCGAGAGAGAGCATGTGAGCATGTGTGAATAGGAGGGGCAGAGGGAGAGGAGAGAGAGAATCCCAAGAGGACTCCACGCAGTGTGGAGCCTGAGGCAGGACTCGATCCCACGACCCATGAGATCACAACCTGAACTGAATGAAACCAAGAGTCAGACACTTAACCAACTGAGCCACCCAGGTGCCCTTAAAATATATATTTATTCATGTTAATCAGTTTGTTTTTCTGATGAAAACATTTCACCCAACCACTTTTCATTTAAATCTTACAATACCGTTATTATAGTTATTATAAATAATATGTGTGTACTTATTAAGAAGGTATTGAGTAAACACACAAGTATTGTTTGAAATAAATTCTCTCGAATGTTTTAAAACATTTCTTTTTACCTTCTCATAGGTAAAATAAAAAATTGTATTTTAAACTGTAAATGTGAACTGATAGTAAATCTAACTTTCAAGTGTTTTTCTGAAGGTAGAAATAACAGTAGGTTTGTGAAAATGTGTCATCATTGTGAATATGATGTAGTGAAGGAAGAGACCATACTTCGCCTGTACAAAACTTAGTTTTGATTATATGCTTATTTATTTTAAAAGTTTATAAAACTATTGGGGCACCTGGGTGGCTCAGTTGTTAAGCATCTGCCTTCAGCTCAGGTCATGGTCCCAGGGTCCTGGGATCAAGCCCCGCATCGGGCTCTCTGCTCAGTGGGAAGCCTGCTTCTCCTTCTCCCACTCCCCCTGCTTGTGTTCCCTCTCTCCCTGTCTCTCTCTGTCAGATAAATAAATGAAATCTTTAAAAAAAAAGTTTATAAAACTATTAATGAAACATTAAGAGCTTGTAATGTGTGACTTAGGTCTTCACACGTTAGTAGTTATGTTTGCAAGATGAGCATCTCTTGCTACCGATTGTTATATGGATCAAGGAATAGATGGGTGGGATAGTGCTTTATCAACTATAAAATCTTAAATATAAAGAATTATGTCTAAAAGGAAAATTATTCATTAAAGGTTTTGTTTTAGAGTTAAATGGAATAAAATTTGAGTGCCAGTTTGTCTTTTAGGAAAAGGCAGGCCAGATTCTTTAAATTTCAAATTATCTCTCAAAATAGATATTCTATTATAGAGATGTATGAAGCAATGCCTTAGTGACATTTTAATGGTATATTGCTTCATAGATCCATTTTCTTTTGAAATGCTGCCATAATTAGTCAGTTCCTGTGTTTTAGTTTTGTTTTTTTTAAGATTTATTTATTCATTTTTTTAGAGAGAGAGACAGAGCACTCACAGAGGGGGGTAGAGTGGAGAGAGAGAATCTCAAGCAGACTCCCCACTGAGTGCAGAGCCCAACAAAGGGCTCCATCCCACCACCCTGTGATCATGACCTGAGCTGAAATCAAGAGTCAGTTGGATGCTTAACCTACTGAGCCACCCAGGTGCCCTACTAATTTCCATGTTAGCAGCCATCCCCAGAGTTAATATTCAGACTTAACTGCCTAGAGTGTAAGGCTGTTTCCTGACACTTTAGAGAAAGCTATGACCTTCCCAGAAACAAGGATCTAGTTTGGGGCTTCTCTTCCTGGGGTATTGTATTCCCGCAAGGATATGAAAATAGTAAGGGAATTATTTAAAGTCACTGAATTAGCATGACCATCTACCCAAAACCCCAATTTTGCTCAATGGTAAATGGTATATTAAAGCAAGGAAATATATTATGATTTTTTACACATCATCAGATTTACACAGTCAGATTTTTTGCATATCGGTCATGTAAAATGGAAGACCTTCACTTTCTTGTAGCTGTTCTACTGTTTTTCTTTCCTCCCAGCGCACATACGCCTGAATCCCTGCCCCCTCCACACACACATATTCATTCCCCGCTTTCTCCTTCTTCCTCTCTCCCCCTCTTGCTCCATGTATGTGTTTAGGCTTATGCCATTAGGAGTACATCAGTGAAAAAGTCTGAAAACGAAGGCAAATAAAAAGAGCTTGGTCTTTGTTTTGTCTTGGATTTAAATCCCAGCTCTAAAACTTCTAAATGATGATTAGCAAAGTATTTAACCCCTTGAGCCTCTGTTTCCTTATCTGTAAAGTGACTATTTCTTAAGGATTACAGTTAGAATAAAATAAGAGAGTATCTGTAAATTTGCTGATGTATATAGTAGGATCTTAACAAATATTAATCCTGCCTATCCATCCATTGCTTCTTTCCTTGTGTATCATATTTTCAGAGTATTCTTGTCCTATACAATAGTGAGGTTTAAAGTAAATATCAAATAAGATAAAATAATAGCCCTCAGATAAGACATAGTAATAAATTCTGAGTGTATAATTAAAGCTATTTAAATGGAATTGACTAACTCTCACGTTATTAAAAAAATTGAACATGAAAATCAATTTGCGTAATTAAGATTTTCTAAACCAGGTTATTTTACACTTGGGAATATTGGTTGTGTGTGTATTTTCAGCATTAAAATTGTTTGCCTTCGGCTTAGGTCATGATCCTGGAGTCCCGGGATCGAGTCCCGCATCGGGCTCCCTGCTCAGCAGGGAGTCTGCTTCTCCCTCTGACCCTCCCCCCTCTCATGCTCTCTCTCTCTCTGTCTCATTCTCTCTCTCAAATAAATAAATAAAATCTTAAAAAAAAAAAAAGAAAAGAATAAATTGCATTTGTATTGCAGCCACTGTTTTGTATTATGTAATAATTTTCTGAAGGTATGCTAATGGCCCAACTCAATTTATTTTTGTAAGAAATCTGGGTATAATGAATACCGTGTCAGTGGAGTACTGGCTATATAAACTTCTTAGAAAGAGAAATAAGTCCTTCTTAAAGACAAGTATAACTACATAACTTGCTGTGATAACTAATAATAAAACATAGGCTCCTTTGGGGTGACAATACTAAAGAACAGTTTATCTAAACATTTACAATGAGAAATAATGCTTGTCTTTTTTAAAATCTACTTTTATTAGTTTGGGAACTCGTTGTTTGAATCTACTTGGTTTCCAGCAGTTCATGGGAGATAATGATATGACATCAGACTTGGTTGATGAAGGAAAAGAGTTAATCAGACGAGGTAAGATTTGTCTTTTAAAATAAATGAAAGGAAAGTACTAAGACTCAAAATACAAAATTAGTGTTTGTATAATTTGTAATTTTTAGTTTGTCTTCAGAAATGAATGTTTTTGGGGCACCTGGGTGGCTCAGTTGATTAAACGTCTGCCTTCGGCTCAGGTCATGATCCTGGGGTCCTGGGATTGAACCCCATATTGGGCTCCCTGTTCAACGGAAAGCCTGCTTCTCTCTCTCCCTCTGTTGCTCCCCCTGCTTGTGTGTGCGCTCTCTCTCTCTCTCTATCAAATAAATAAAATCTTAAAAAAAAAGAAATTAATGTTTTTTAGCTAAAAATCTACATACAACCTTCATAGCAAAAATAATTTGAAAACAAAAGATGGTTTCATCCATCTTTAAGAAATCCTGCAGCAGAAATGTAGTATGTCCTCAACTAAATAATGCTCTTGGATGGCGGAGTCATTTCCGTGTTTTTCTGGAAACAGATTTGCCAAGCTCAGTACAACTACCAAATTCATGAGTTGAAAGAATCATCAGTTTAATACCGCACAGGAAATCATTCAAGCCAAGGCTGGTTTTGAGAATACCATGATCATTAAAAACCTGTTAGAATACATGGCACTGTACTAGAATCTAATCCCAACACTGAATACATCAAATTTCCTGATGTTCGAGTGATGGTAGGGAAAAAAGAAAACAAAACTTGAGTGTGGGGACATTGATTCCTAGACATTCTCCCTATGTGGGTCTGGAGCTTTTGTGTGATCATTAGTTAAATATAAGCCAAAATATTTTGTGGCTCTAATAGAAGCTGTTGTAGCCTTCCAATTCTCTTCTAGGAAGGTGGGGTCTAGTTGATAATAATGGTTCTACTGCTTTTTACATTAATTAGATCTCATCTGGAGTATCATATTTAGTCCTCGGTAAGATTTCAACAGTAGAACTGATAAGTTAGAGGTATTTAGAGAAGGACAGCCAGAACTATGAGACTGTAGAGTGTATCTTATGCAAAAAAAACACTGAGTGTATAGCCTGAAAAGAATAAGGGAAAGAACTTTTATGCAGAAAGAAGTATCAACTTAATTTAGAAGGTAAGGCAAAGAAAAAGAAGGTACCAACAAATCTGAGATCACCATGAGGAAGAACTTATTCCTCTAAAACTATTTAGGCAAGGCCTAAAGGTCATCTCCAACAAAAATACAGAAGGTATTTTCTTTGGACTTAGGTGACCTCTTAGGTTCTTTCCAACAGTAACCTATTACTTTTGACTTTGTAGTAATTTAAAGGAAATTGGTCATAGCCTGATACCTTTACTTCAGTTACTCTACGTCTAATTAAACCATGTTATACCAAATTTGAGACCACTTTTCTGTCTCTAGAGAAGAGAAAAAGGCAAAGGCAAGAAGAAGGTGAAAATCGAAGAAGAGTAAGTATAGTACTTATTAATTTGCTTAACCTAAAGACTAATATGAAATAATCATAAGAATTTTACTGATTTAGAACTGGCTAAAGACCAAAGAACAGTGGGAAAATGACATAGGACATGTTTTTTAAAAAAGGTAATTTTAATACTTTCAGATGTACATGCTAAGTGTTTTGTCAGACCTGTTCTAAAAAGTCACTTGTGTCCAGTGTCTAGCAGTTTCTTGCCTAAGGTCGGTCCTCTGTGAATACTTAATGAAAGAATTAATAAATTCATGCAATCTTGTTATTAAAGTCATTTTGATTGCTTTAAAATTGTTATGCTTTTTGGTAATATGACATTAATTGTATTCCTCTTCAATTTTCTTCAGTTCTCTGTTTGCTGAGGCAAACTAAACTTCCCTAGAGAGTGAAAAAGCAGAAAATTAGGAAAATTTAGTCACGGTTACCACAAATTTACAACACGTGAGTGTATCTCTACTGGAGAAATAAAGACTCAGAGGAGGAGACATGATAGCTGTCTTCATATATGTTAGTGTGTGTCATGTAAAAGAAGACTTGTTCTTTATTTCAGAAGACATCATTGGAACCAGAGAGTGGAAGTTACTGGAGATAGATTTCACCTCTCGGTGAAAACTTCTAACTTCCACAGTTTATCAAAATTGTGATGGGCTGCCCACAATAGAAACTTCCATGTCATCTAATAAGAGAGCCAATGACATGGCTATTTTACAATGAAACCCTACAGTGCAGGGGAGGTCGAATAAGGTGACCTCTGAGGTTCCTTTCAGTTCTAAGAATTGATTGAGTAGTATCCCGCTTCATATGGTTTGACGACAGCTATCTAATCATGTTTGTATACAGCTCTAATTTTGCTTTCGAAAGTGACTTTTCAGGTCTCTGATATGTGTAGTTTGTGTACATAGGAGAAAGTTCTGTTAACATCTCAGGAGTTATTAGGAGTTCTCCTAACTTTTATGTGGTCAAGCTAAGCCTGTTGTAGCTGTCATGTTGTTTTGACATTTTAGACAGAAGAATTGAAAAGGCTAAGTATAGCTAGCAAAAATGTCTATCAGTGTTGATTTGGAAGAAAGTTTGGAGACTGTATTAAAATCATGTAGAGACGAGAAAAAATATTTTTGAAAATTTTCATGGTACTATGCTAATCATACTGATTATCTGGTGAATTTCTGATGAAAATCACTAAATTCTCTTACTCTATACATACAGTCTGTTGACACTGATGAATACTTTCTGCCTGTGCGTTCCTTTGTTATACATTTATTTGTGTTTCTGACTTAGGAATGGAAAGAACGTTATGGACACAGTAGAGAAGATTCCACTAGAAACAGAAATGTTCATGTTGACTCGAAAGAGTCAAGCCTCTCAGATCTTAGTACCACCCGATGTAAGTCATTTATTTTCTAGTTCCCTTAGAAGCTGTTTTCTTATGCTTGCTTGCATAGAGACTGAGAATTAAGACATCCATTCAAAAATGCTTTTAGAGAACTGTAGAGGTGGTTCTGCAGTGTCTTTCCTTTTTCACCCCTCAGTGTATAGAAGGAAAGGGAAACTCAAGTATGCATTCTGATAGGAGATGGAGAATTGGGACAATGCATGAAGAGTTGTAATCATACTACCCTAAATAATATCAGTACTTATCCCAGGCATGTTGTAGGCAGGTGTTGATTTCTACTATTTACCTAGATGTTGTTCTTTACTTTTCTGTTAGTCGATGTAGGCAATTCACTCATTTTTATAACCGTTTCCTGACTGACCCATATGTCAGATACTTTCCCAGGTATTCAGGGATATAGAGAAGTTTATTTCCTATCCTTGGGATGCCAGTTAATTTTGTGAGGGACTGATACCAAGTAGAAAACATTTGCCAGTGGGTTGAGTTAGGATACCTCCTCACATCCTTGACCCTGCCATCTGCCCCTGGGAAGGTGGCAAGAAACATGTTTTTGCCCAGGACTCTGACCAGAGTAGATGGCAGAGGAGGTTTGTCTTTGGGGGAGATGCAGGAATGCTGAGAGAGTAGAAGGGGACACTCCTGATGCTGAGGGAGCTCAGCTCACGGGATAGAAAAAGAGTTCTTTATTGGGAAAGGATTTCTGTGATAAAATAATAGTAACTGAGCATTTGGGAATGAATGGTGCTTAGCCAGGTGAAGGTGTTTTAGGCAGAAAGATGAATGAGTGACTGAAGAGTACCTTTGGGAGAATGCAAGTTTGTTTCTGTGATAAGATCCTAAAGTATGAGTAGCCTGATAAGAGGTGAGGCTGCAGAGACAGTTGGGAAGCAGGTATTACCAGGCTCAGAAGTGAAGACTTTCAAGTGAAGATTTCAGTCAGGAAAGGAGCATGCTCAGATTTTTGGTTTCAAAAGATAAATTTGAACGTAAAGCATGATTTCCAGAGAAGTGGGACACAAACCAATTTAACGTCTGTGTTGGTAATGCGATCAAGAAATGAGGGCCTAAAATAAGTAGTGATCCTGGGGATGAGGAGGAAAGGATGTGTTTGAATGAGATTTAGGGTAGAAGAAATGGGAGAGAGCTAAAGGTTTAGTTAAAGCTAGGAAAGAGAGGTGCCTGGGTGGCTCAGCCAGTTAAGTGTCTGTCTTTGGGCTCAGATCATGATCCCAGGGTCGGGCTCTCTGTTCAGCAGGGAGCCTGCTTCTCCCTCTCCTGCTCTGCCTCTCTCTCTCTCTCAAATAAATAAAATCTTCAAAAAAAAAAAAAGAGCTAGGAAAGAGAGAGGGATTCTACAAAGATTTGGAAGCTTGTTTACCGTGGAGTAGGAGTTGACATGTTAGAAAGATGTGGGAGTGTGGGAGAATGTTGAAGAGAAGAGGAAATACAACGCCTTAGGATGATGACTTGAAGAGAACCTGGAATGTGGGAGGCAACCAATATTTGCTGAATGAATGAGAGAAAAGATGAAAGAACCTGGAATGTGGGAGGCAACCAATATTTGCTGAATGAATGAGAGAAAAGATGAATGAGAGAAAAGATAGGGCTGAATGAATGAGAGAAAAGAGTCCAGGATGACAAAAGCGTAAGATACGATCGAATTGGCTTACCTTAAGTTTTCAAAAAGAGCTATATCATAAAGTTCTTTTGAAGCTATTGGACTACTCAGAAGAACATTGTGAAAATTTAGGTTGTTTATGAAGAAAACCCACCCCATCCACAGAGAGAGAAGGGAGAGTTAGTGCAGTAGATCTGTACTGACCAAGATGGTCCGCATTACCCACATGTGGCCATTGAGCATTTGCAATGCGGCTGGTGCCCCATGTTTAAATGATAATATATCAGATATATTGAACTAGATTAAGTCTGTTAAAATTAATTTCACCTGTTCCTTTGTACTTTTTTCATGTAGCTAATAGAAAATTTAAAACTAAATACCAGGCTTGCATTTTGTTTCTGTTGGACTTAGCTACCCTAAACTCTTGTCTCCTAGGAAAAAGACTCAGGCCTTCCTTGAAGACCTGGAGTTGAGTACACCTTAAAGAAAATTCTAGCCAAGAACTGAGATACGGCAGCCCCTGGATTCACTGTGAAACCAGTTGAAACTTGATAATGAACAATTTTATAGTTCATATGTTAAATGTTAATTCTGATTCATATTACTTGAATCTTTGCATTGTACCTGCTTCTGAGCTTAGGCTAGCTGCAAGGGAGAAATTTTCCTTGTTATTTTCTATCATACCATTTCTCATTTTAATCTGATTTTTAAGGAATCAAGTAGTTATCTTTTCTTACTATTGTCTTCACAATCAAAATTCAGATCCTTTATAATCTTGACTTTTTTTCGTGAGTCTATAGACGGTAACCCATAAAGACAACAGGAAAGTAGACATATTTTTTTTTCCTTCCTTTACAGCAGCATCCAAATATACCAGGGCCAATAACAGGACTGAAAGGGACCGAATAGAACTCCTCCAAGATGTAGAACCTTTGGACTTTAATGCAGAAACATTCACTGATGATCCTCTTGAATCTAAATCAGAAAGGTAAGCTCTGGCTGGGTCATTTTGGCTTCAGCATTCTGAAATTTTGATAACATAACGACCTGATGAGATAAACATAAGGAAAATGTTCATCTTTACTGCTAATAATAACCATATTAATCAACCTTTGGTAACTTTTTATACCTGCTAATGCTTTTATATCTTAAAAATTATAGCATCCAGTGGTGCTGGATAGCTGAAATTGCTATCTCCATAAACTACTAGTGGTATTCTAAATAAGAAAGAAAAATTGAAATGGATAGTAAGGATCTTAACAATGTTTATATGCCTATTTCTAATTATCCCATTTATGAAATTAATCATATTTAGCAACGGCTACATAGCCGTGACTGGGTGTCAGACACTATTCTAAGCACATTACCAACAATACTGTATTTTATGGTTGTCAGTCCAATTGGATTTGAATCCAGAGAGGCTTAGTAACTTACCCAGAGTAACACAGCTTGCAAATAGCAAAGTCATGCATTCAAACCCCAGGACTCTGGCAGTAGAGTCTGTGCTTTTAACCACTGTGCTCTGTGAAAATAATTAAACAGAAGCAAAATATCATATGCATGGTGATATTTGCTACAGTATTGCCTGCAAACAGCAAAAACCCTGGGATATTCTATTTCTGTTGAATAATCAAGAGTGGTTATTAAATCTTCATTTCCATGATGTGTTCACATCTCCCTATCCCTTTCTTCTTATATCTCTCACCCTGTCATACGTGTATTCTAGGCTCTAAAAAAGCTGTTGATTAATTTATAATTAAGTAAACCCCCTTGGGATATCATCTTTGTAAGTTTCTGCTTTCAGCTACTGAATAGATTTTACAAATGATGCTTACAAAGTATGTAGCCGCTTCCTTTTAATGTGTCCTTGTTTTTCTCTCCTCCTTTGTTATTTTTGATGCCTCAGATCATTTCTTTATCCACCTTTCAGGTATCAGCCTGGTGGACGATACCTCTCGATGTCTCAAACCGGAATATTTGATGATGTGTAAAGTCTGAAAGAATTTATGGAACAACTAACCAAGATCAACACATCAGTCCAGTCTTTATGAACATATGTGTGCCCTAGAGTTTATACTGTACTCGTAGTGAAAAGTGTCAGAACAAAAAAAGGCACTGAAAGTTACTCACATCTTAGTAATAATAGTTTATTGCCCATTGAATAGAGTGTCATCTTTTTTATTACACACCATTCCTGAAGTGTCTGCCTTAAAAGTACCGGTGTAGTGGAAGGATTCAGTTCATGAGAAAGATCAGTATATGTTGAGAACAGGTAGTTCGGTTTGTTTCAGATTCACTTTTTTCGGGAAAGTTGTTTTAAAGATCCAAGAAAGTCATATGTCATAACTAAATAACATCATACGGTTTTATTATTGTGATTTACGTTTTTGCTGTTTTTAAAGAATATGTTAATCCTGTATTTCTTAACGAGATGGAGACCTCAAATAATAATGGTATTTACAGAACCCACATCTTAAAACAAGGCTTACTTACCAGACATAACTGAATGTAGAAAGCTCTTTTTCAACTCTATATGCAAATTAGTGAGGTTTTTGCATGTATAATTAAGATTACACTTCAACTGATAGTGTTAATATCTTTGGCATGTGTACTATAATTGGGTAATGTATTAGTCTTTCAGTCTTTGCTAGTAACTGGAAATTCGTTTATGCTTTTGGTATTGCTTTGTAAAAGATTTTCATTTCAGGGAGAAATGTTCACCTTTATCGTTCAGCATATTGATTTAAGTATTGATCATTCCACTCAAAGAGAATCTGAAGCATTAATGGGAAATAGTGGGTTGTTGTTTTTTTTTGTTTTGTTTTTTGTTTTTTTTTAATAACCAAAGAGTCCCACAAAATTCTCTAATTTTTAAAGGTGCCTATTGATGCTTTGTGGAAAATAACACTTGGTTACTTAAAGGTAAAATGTGATTCCACTTACTATTATTATTAACACTTAAATTGTGGTTTATATGTAATAATTTTGTTAAACATGCTTATTATTTTAACAAAAAAAGCGTTTTTAAACTTCTGTGTTTAAGCCAAAGTTGGGTATATTTTAAATCATCAGTGTTTTATTGCACAGTGAATATTGCACAGTTAAACACAACATGCTTGCAGAGAGTTTTTTATGTCCCTGAAATGTTTACAACTCAGAGAATCCCTGCTATGGATGCATCCAGTGGTGACTGTGAGCTTTCTGCACCGGTCGCAATTTAACACCTGCTATTCTGTGTAATTTTTAATAGGGCTCGCTTTCCCTCTGAAGTATCCCAGGTTGAAAATGAATTATATGATCACCCTAACAATATGATTGTATGTTTCTTGAAGGTAATTTTCCCTTGAATCATAATTTTAAATTTTTTATTTTGCTTTTTACTTAGATACTATCATGTAAATTTTAAGAGACAGATCCATGCAGATACTGAAAGGAATAGTGTATCATCCTAATTATCTGATTTTGTTCAATTTTATGATATTTGAGGTTAGATCCCCTTGAAAATAATTATAAACGGATAGACTTTATTCTCAGTCAAGGGTTATACAGGCTGCCCATTTGAGAATACACACACAGCCTTTCACTCTAAAGTGTGGTCAGAGAGCTGTAGGCCAGAAGCAGAGATCATTTGGTACTGTTTGTAATTTCATGATTGACCATTGACTATCTCGGGCAAATTATGTAACCTTTCAGTGCCTCAATTTCTTCATTTGTGAAATGAAGATGATACTTGCTATTTACCTACTGATCTACCTCACAACTATTGTGAGGGTATATTGAGTTGATGTTGATACGCTGGCGTTTAAAAAACAAAACAAAATAGTTTCCTGTGCTACTTTACCTAGTGGTACTTGAAGGTGTGAAATGATCAGCCCAGTTTCTTACAATTACAGAGAAGCTTTTAAGTCCCCAAAGCAAAAACTGTCTTTGGACTAATTTATCAAAAGTCCTTTGAAAATAGTATTGTTGTATATTTGGTCTTTGGGTTTACCTTGGAATATTTTCCTTAAGTATAATGTTGTTTCTCATCAGGTTTTGTCATGAAACCCAGATGCTGTAGATGAAATAGAAGCAGAAAAAGAGATTATCCAGTCACTTTTATAACTTATAATGCCCTAAAATAAATTGATAGGAATATGTAGGGGAATGTCCTACTTTCCTTTATAATAATTGAAGTGTATGTAATACTTACTTCACAAATAACCTAGCTCCCTTTGTGACTTCTGAGTTATTTCCAAAATAACTTTTGGTTGTTTAAGTCTAGAGTGTTCAACTTTTTAAGTAGAACTTATCTTACAGGATTTTATATACGATCATATTAGGAAGGTTACCTGGCTGGGTAATTTGAGTTCATAAGGTAATGATTTAACCCCCGAAGAATAAAGAGTTTATTGGTGGGGGGAACTAAGTTAGTATCTGTTAAGCCATCTTGTGTAAAAAAAGGTGGAGTAAGAACAGAAGTTTTCTCTTTGGGGAAGCTTATTAAAATGTAACGACCTCTACTGCAAAACATTACTACTAAATTCATAGACTTTAAATGCAAAGTAATTTCCTGAAGAATTACTTCTGACGATTAGCTTTTGATGTCTTTCTTACGTAATAATAGATATCTGGTTAAATTTTCTAAATTATTTTTCTAAATAAGCATTAGGTAAGGATATCCAGTAAGCCAGTAATTCAAAACAACCACTGCAGAAAGTAATCACCTGTAATTTGCTAATTAACTTTTGTTACTACATCAATAACTTTATCTTATCAGTGGAGCTTTTTTATAAAAATCATTATTAAAATAAGAAATAAGGTATAAGCCAAATTATTAAAATTTACTCTCTTACCAAATGAATCAAGGGCTTTCAAGTACTTTCAACACACAAGAGGTCCTCATTTCACACGAGTGGTAAGAGCGAAATCAAAACATTCAAGGGTCTTCCATTTATAAAAAATAGATCAGAAAATTGGACAATCCATGCCATCAAAAATAAATACTGTGAATTGATTTGTTTTTGGACTCTACTGTTTATTAGAATATCCGTTCTTAAATTTACACTGGTTGTGTACCCAAATGAAATTAAATGTGGATAGGAAGTCAATTTGTGGGATTTTTTTTTAAGTATACTTCAGTGTATGGATGAAAGAATTTCATTTATGTACAGTAACAGACCTCATTTTTTTTTATCTTGTAATAGAGTCAGGGAACGTTCTTGATGGTGTGTTGATTACTATCTTAAAGGAAAGTAAACTCTCCATAATTATGATTCACACTGTTCAGTAATGGGAGTTTTGTACTTGTGATTTGAGTGGACCATGCCTGAAAATCACAAGGATAAGTATATTTGCACTAAAGAGGCAAAACATGTCCCTGAAAAATCTTAACATATTTGAATCTCCAAAATGTAATGGATCATATTACATTAAATTCTAAATGTTAAGGAGTAAATGGATTTCGAGTTTTATCTTTCCTTTCTTTTCTTCCTTCCTCATTGCTTTTATATCCTCCTTCCTTTCTGAAGCCTGTCTTTACAGTATGACTTTTAATGTGCTGACAGGTTTTTTTTGTTTTGTGTACACAGCTGTTTCTGATGATGATCAGTACACTCAGAAGGAACTAGTTCTGATTTCACATCCCACTACTTGAACAGCAGTATTGCACCTGAAGTAGTGAAACAGATTCTTCTAGACAACTAAGCAACATCTGAATGTAAATGTGATGTATGCTGGCTCGGTGTCTTGTCTTTAGGTCACTAAAGAGGACACTTCATTAAAATGAATTACTCTCAGTGTAATGTTTTGGCATAAAAATGGATTTCCAAAAACGGTGATTGTTAAAAACAAAACAGAAAAGCAAAAAGATTAAGAAACTTGAGATGCCTTTTTATGAAAAGGAATTCATAAATACCCTACATTGTTGTCAGAGTTTTCATTAGGAGAGGTTAGAACAATACAAGAAAGAGGGTTACAGGAGGCCTTCTAAAATATGAATTCCCTCCACGTGGGGTTCTTTTTCCCGATGGACTTTTTCCTGCTCAGAGAGCTAGAAGACCAAGCCGTGTCATCCCCTATCCCAACTGCTGCAGGCTAGGCCCTATGAATCATCTTGCCCAGCAGAGCAAGCCCTAGCCCTGCCCGATCCTTAATCCCATCAATGGGGACAGGACCTCACCTCTAATTCCTTTCACACTCAGCCTGGTCCTCCTAAAATTTCATTATCATTGTCAAAAGATTTGTCCACTGAGGTTGATTGAAGCCTTGCTATAATTTTTAATTTGTTAATGAAGCAAGAATATTGGCATGTTCCTCTTCTCATTGATATCCTAAAAGACATTTGTTTTTAACATACTCCCTGGAGAGAATTAACTTTTTTCTCCTGAAAATCTTTTCTTTAGTGGCTATCTTGATCTCAAATCATTTTATAAAAGGAGCTTTTTTTTTTCCTGTACTTAGTGCAAAAGAGTAGAAAAAATGGTTTACTATGGCAGACATGTAGGGTGAAGTCATAATTTATTAATCTGACTGCACAACACCATTTTGAGTCAATATTATTGATATAAATCGTATCAACCTAGTCACTTAGAGCTGAATTTCTCAAAAGAATGCTGGCTAGCATCTTCCCTACTTAGTACACCAAGTTGTAGGGGAGAGACTTGTATTTATTTTATTAAAAGCAATCCAATGGATTTGTTTTTGTCCATACTTTCAAAACAGCTTAAAGGATTTTTCTCATTTTAGAAGGTAGAAAACATGTGGACATGTCTTTAAATTACTGTAATCTAATAAATATTTATAAATTCTGGTATTGAAAAAAGAACTCTAATATTGATGTTGTTATTTTCTGGTGTTTAATTTCTGTAAAATGTTTTTGTGGTAACTAATTGTAGTGCTTTTAGGCAGTTTAAAAATCATTCTCAAATAAGTTCTGCCCACATCAGATTTCCTTAGGGCAATATTCCAAAGTTCAGTAGTCCAGTGTGAATTTGAAATATTCCTTCACCCCTTCAGTGTCTTTTTATATATACCAGTACCCAAGCAAAGTATACCAAAAGCCTAATTTCTCTGTTGCATTAATAAAGTACTTGTTATTTATCTAATTCAGTGGATTAGGTGAAATAGAAGATAAGTCTTTTCAAATGTGCATCTGATCATAATTTTTCTAAATGTTCATTATGTTCATCTTTGGTGCATGATGCCAAATTTATCTTTAATCAGCCATTACTACCTGATATGTAATGACAAATGTTTTCGTATCTGACCAATGAGTTGTAGATTTAACTATTTTTTCTCTGCAGATTCTCACTACATTTTCAAATATGTATTTGGAAAAAGCTGCAAAGTGCTACCTATAAGTAAGTTAGCATCTTTGGCCTTATCTATGCATAATGTTCTCTCGGTTTGGTTTTGACAAACTCGTGGATTTGCAATTGCTTTATAGTATTTTAACTTATTGTGATGTAATGAATTTTTTGAAATGTTTATTTGATTAGCTATTAAAATATAGGAAATTATGTGTCTTTGCATGAAATAAAGTACATTTCTACAAGTTCCTAAGAATTTTGCTGATTATTTATGTGTTTCATTTCATACCATCTTTGAATTAAACTCCTAAGGAGCCTGAAGCTTTCTTTGTTCCTTACAAATATATTACCACTAATACTATATTACATTAGTAACATTACATTACAAACAAAATATTTTAAGATAATTAAATATGTG